CCTGAGGTTATCGCTGCTCTTGGGGTGGGAGTTCAGGGTGCCCTTGGGGTGTCTGCCCCAGGTGGATGTTCTGGGGCTGCTCTGCTCTGGGGATGGTGAGCCCCGTGGGCATTCTGTATCTCTGATCCCTCGGGGTCTCTGTCCCAGGTGGATGTCTTGGGGCTCTCTGCTCTGGGGATGGTGAGCCCCGTGGGCACTCTGTATCTCTGAGCCCTTGGGTCTCTGCCCCAGGTGGATGTCCTGGGTGGGGCTGCTCTGCTCTGGGGATGGCAAGCCCTGTGGGCACTCTGTATCTCTGAGCAGCCGTGCATCACCAGTGGGACACAGCACATGGGGGATCATGTAGGAAAGGGCTGTGGGATGAAGCTCAGACCTGGTGATGGGCCGTCTCCACAGGCTCAGCCAGGAGCTGCAGAAGGAGAAGGTGATTGAGAGCCTGGAGGTGAAGCTGCAGGAGCGCTCTGAGTCCCCAGGTAGCAGCTGCCCACCCTCGGAGTCATCCCACTCTGCCAGCAGCTCATCCTTCACCTCCGAGGGGCTGGAGCCCTGCTCCGATGGGGATGCAGCCAGCGAGTACAGCCAGTGCCACGAGGAGCCTGCCCAACACACAGGTACCACCAGGGGCCACAGCTGCAGCACCCCTGGACACAGGGACTTGGCTTCTCGGCTGTGCCAGGGTCCCCAGAGCACCAGGGAGGAGGGCTCTCTGCCAGGCTGAGCCAGAGCCACTGTGACACCTCTCTCTCTGCATCTGTCTCCTGTCTCTAGGCCTTCACTTTGGCTCCTTGTCCCAGCCCGTTAGTGCCCCCCTGCCTGCCCTGGCCCCCGGGCTGTCCCCCTTCCTCCCTGCCGGGCCCCCTCCTCCTGCGGCCCCGGCGCTCCTGGGCTGCTGTGGCAATTCTGTCTGCTCCCTGGCTGAGGCACAGCAGGAACTGCAGGTGCTCCGGAGGCAGCTTGGAGAAAGTGAGCGCACTGCCTCGTGGCTTGGGTTTGCTCCTGCCTGCCCTGCATGCTGTGCTGTGACACATCATCCCCACCCTGTCTGACCTGCATGTCCTGCCCTGGATCTCCTCCTTCTTCTCAGGGCTATGGCTTTGAGGTTGGGTGCCACTGCTCTGGCTGGGGACAGTGGGAACATGTGGCTTTCATGTAGAGAGGACCTGGTGGGTTGGAGGGGCCCATCCCAAGACAGCATTAGCCCTAGGTGTAGACAGTGGCACATTCCAGGTCTTCTAGGAAAAGGCTGATTTGGTGAGGTGCTGTGTAGGAGTGGGGCTGAGACCCTCCACCTTGTGTCACGTAATCATCAAGCGCTGGGAGAGCCCCTGCTCCTCAGGGGGAATAGCTTTGGTTGGGATGGGAGGTCAGTGATGGGGACTCTGGAGTGCACTGTTGAGCAGAGCAACAAGGGAGGGGAAAGCAGATGAGGGAGTTCATTGCCCCATTCTTCCTACCTGCTCATTGTCCTTCTCCTCCTCCCCGCTGTCCTGTGCGTGCAGGTGTGACACTGCCCATGGCACCAGCAAAGCCCACAGTGCCACTGGGCCCCTTTGGAGAGGGCAGCAAAGCCCCAGCATCGTTCTGCCGGCACGGAGCCCTGCAGGGCCCGGCTGAGCTCCCCCGCGGCCTCTGGGACGTGCCCCCGGCCGGCCAGCTGCTCTATGGGGCCCTGCCCCCGGGGTACCCCTGTGGGCAGAAGCTGACAGGTATGGTCCGTGGTGGAGAGCACAGGGCATCCCCCCGCCTGTGGGGTGCAGGGAGGAGATCCGGCACCACAGCAGCTGCGGGACAGGGCTCTGCTGTGGAGAGGGGCAGGCACAGCCCTTCCTGCCCTGAGCTGTGTCCCTGGCTGTGGCAGGGGCAGACCTGCTGGAGGAACACCTGGTGGAGATCCGCAACCTGCGCCAGCGCCTGGAGGAGTCCATCTGCACCAACGACCGGCTCCGGGAGCAGCTGGAGCGCCGCCTGGCCGGCAAGGGCAGCGGTACGGGCTGGGGCTGCGGGCCAGGGCTGCGCACAGCCCTCTGCTCACCCAGCACAGCGGGGCACCGGGACAGACACCCAGCACTGCTCCCTCCGCAGGACTGCCCAGTGATGCCTATGGCCAGACACCGGAGCTGGGGCTGCAGCTGAGCAGGGAGAACCAGGCTCTGCACGAGGAAAACCGCACCCTGCGCCTCCAACGGGACCACCTCTCCCAAGGTAGGGCCGGGCCAGCATCCTGGGGCTGAGCCCCGGAGGGCACTGCCTCAGTGGGGCGGTGGTGACACCTCCGTGCTCTGTCCCCAGAGCTGGCACGGGTGCAGGAGACTCTGGTGGCTGCCTGCTCCCGGGCACGGGAGGCCGAGGCCGAGCTGGGCCAGAGGCGTGGCAAGCAGCGGAGGCTGGCGGAGGAGCTCTCCGAGTGCCAAGAGAGCGTCCGGCAGCTCCGGGACGAGCGGCGCTCTCTGCAGGAGGACAACAACAGGTAAGGTTTGGGGCACTGTGGCCCTGGGGCCACGGGACTGGGAGGGGTGGCTGGCACGGGACCCACGTGTCACCTCTGCAGGCTGCAGCACTCGGTGACGCTCCTGCAGCAGCAGAGTGAGGAGCAGCGCCTGCTCCTGCAGACCCTGCGTGCGGAGCTGCACGTCTACGAGAGCCTCCCGGGCCCCTCTGCTGAGACACGAGCAGGTATGGGACCCACGCACACCATCCCTGCCCAGCCCCTGCCCTTGGGGCGCCCGGCCCCTCTGCAACCCCTGGGTGCTCCCAGACACTTCTCCTGGGGCAGCAGGTTGCACACAGTGGCCCTGCTGGCAGCAGAGAGGGAGGGCAGGACCCCAGCAGCCCCAGGCACGGAGCCACATCTATCTACAGGGGCTCAGATGTTTCTTGTTCCAGGCTGCTTCCCATCTCCTCCGGTGCGCGATGTTGGCACTAACTCAGCAGCTCCCCTCCTGTCCCCGCTGCCCTCCGGCACGTCGGTGCTCCGGCGGATGGACGGTGGGTTCTGCTGAACTGCTGAGCAAGCCTGGAGGGCTCAGAGCAGAGTCGAGTTCCCGGGACGGGACGGGGGGTCACCAGGGGAGCGGGCAGTGCTCCTCTCCTAACCCAGCTTGCTCCACAGAGCCCCGCGGGGCAGACGTGCTGCTGAGGAAGAGCGAGGGACTGACGGGGGCTCATGTCGTCGGGCGCCTGGACACGTACCGAGCCCTGGAGCGGCACATGGTGCAGGGAAAGGCCCTGGCCCGGGAGCTGATGTGTCTCACACGGCCAGCACTCGGGCTGCCCAACTGCCCGCTCCCGGCAAAGGAGGTAAAGCGTGGGCAGGACGGGGCAAGCAGCAGCTGGGGGCCAGACCCTCGGTGCACCTCAGAGCATTACATGGCTCCCGAGCCCACAAGCAGCCCCGAGGGCTGCAGGGGCAGCTGGAGGCAGGGAGCCTCCAGGCCAGGGAACGCTGCCCAGCTGTGCCGGGCTGAGCACCCGGCTGCGGCGGGATGGGGGTGCCCCGGCAGCAGCTGCTCCCGCACCCTTCTCCCGCAGGGATGGACGGGCACGGGGCAGGGCCACCTGTGGGGCAGCGCCAGCACCCTGCACGGCATCCTGGAGGAGTGCGTGTCCCTCCTCGCTGCCTTCTGGAGCACCGTGCTGCCCGTGAGCCCTGCGCAGCACCAGGGCAAGGTGAGCTGGGGCTGGGGGCCGGCGGGGCACCGGGGCCGGTGCTCAGAGCTCATCCCCGGCCCTGTCCCAGGAGCAGGTGCTCCAGGGCGAGATCGCGGCGCTGCGGGCCCGGCTCTCCGAGAGGGAGGATGCTCTGCAGAGCACGGCCAGGCGACTGCGCTGCACGGCCCAGCTCAAGGACAGCATGGAGCAGTTCATCGTCAGCCAGCGTACGTGCTCGGGTGGCACAGCCAAGCTGGCCTGCTCCCCACGTGCCCCATGAGGTTCTGTGGCACAGGGACCTCACTGACCCCATCTCTCTCTCCTGCAGTGACCAGGACCCACAGCGTGCTGCGCAAGGCCAGGACAAACCTGGAGGTGAGTTTGCTCTGATGCCCTGGGGATGGACACAGATGGCACACACCCCTGGTGGCTGTCCTGGAGTGCTGAGGGCCAGCTGGGTGAAGCGTGTGGGGAACACATTCTTGTCCGTCCTCAGCCAGCATGTCCATGTCCCCAGGGCACAGCAGCGCTCTTCCTTATTGCCACGTCTTGTCTCTTGCCAGGTGAAGGCCCAGCAGGCCCTGCCTGTTGCATGAGCCCGTGCAGGGCAAGGAGCAATGGCCAGCAGGGAAGAGCCCACTGGCTGCTGAGCCGAGCCGTGCCAGAGGGCTGGAGTGGATCCCATCCCTGCTGCTCTGAGGGCCGGGGTGAAAGTGGTCTGGGGTGTCCAGAGCTACACCGTTAGTGGGTTTGGGCTGCTGTGGTAGTTGCATGCCCTCCACCAGCCTTTGCTTGGCATGGCAGCAGCAGCTGCTGGCTTGGCTTGGCCTTTGTCTGGCCCATGCTTCAGCACTTGCTCCCTTCCACCCTCCATGCTCAGAGTGGGGTGACACAGCCCCCCAAGCTGAGCACACCTTGCCCTGGGACCTGGTCCCCTCTGTACCCTGATGAGTCCCTGTCCCTGCTTGTGGATGTATGTATATGTATATAGACAGAGCTATTGGAAATGCACTCTGGGGACTCGGCCCGTGTCGGGGCCCCAGCGCAGGAGGAAGATGTAAGAAATGCCATATGCTGTTCAGTGGCTGAAGAGTCCCCAATAAAGGTTTCCTTTGGGTTGTGGTGTCTCTGGCATGCCTGTCTGCAGCCGTGCTCCCCCTCCCCAAACCACCAGCAGCACAGGGTGCCAAAGGCTGTCCCCAGGGGGTGGCTCTGTGCCCTACTCTAACCACCCAAGGGCAGCTCTGTGCTGCACTGGGTGCTCCCTTTCCTGCTCTTCTGGACCCCCTCTCCAACACCAGGCAAGCAGCACTGAGAACAATAAATACTGTAATAAATAGAGAACCCCCTGTCCCATGGCGCTGCTGCGGCAGCAGGCGGTGCAGCCGGGGTCCTGGAGTGCCTGCCCGCCTCTGCTCTTCCCAGGGCATGTGCCAGTGCCCCTCTGGCTGTGACAACATCAGCCCTGTCCCACAGAAGCAGCTGATGTGGGGCACAGGGCGTTGCAGTCCTTGATGGTGCTCTCACAGCAGCAGGTAAGAGTGGCTGTGTCCAGCTGTGCTGTCCATCATGCTGGCTCGATGCCGAACCTCGCAGAGGTTCAAAAAAGCTGGGGGGCAGCCCCACAGCCAGGGCTGTGGAACAGGGGGCAGGTGTCAGGCTGGAGTGTCACAGAGCCCCTAGCAGACGAGGTGGCCTTGGAGATTCAGCACCAGGGCAGCAGCACAACCTTCAGAAGAACAGGATGTGTTCCTGGAGCCTGGACTGGGTGCAGTGCCAGGACCACCTTGAGGCCCTCACAGGCTGGAGAAGACAGGCAGGGTGAAGCCCTTTTCTGTTGGGAGTGAGGAAGGGCTGTTCTGGTGAGCAGCAAAGTGGTCCCAGAGACTCACAGAAGCCAAGGGAAGCTGCAGGTGGGTGGAAACCAAGGGCTGAACCACGCCGGTAGGATGGGACAGCGTCACAGGCCCCAGTGGCCCTGAGCTTGTTGCCGGGGCCCGTGTCCCTGCCAGGTTGGAGGCTGGAGCCAGTGGCCAGGTGTCACACAGTCCCGTGGCCCAGTGTGTGCAGACAAGCGGCGTTTGGTGTCCTGCGTGGGGAGCGTGTGTGGCCTGGCTCAGATGGGCTTGTACAGCAGCGTGGTGACGTACTTCTTCTTGTAGCGGTGCGTGGCACTGAGCACCATCACGCCATCCTGGGGGAGACAGCGTCAGCACGGGGGGCCAGGGCACCCCTGGGGCTCAGGGAGCTGCCCCAGCCTGTCCCTGCTGTCCCCAGTCCCATGCACAGCAGGGCAGCGGGGCAGAGCTAGGGCAGGGTCTGATACATGCTTAGCAGGGAGACAGCTGAAGGGAATTGTCAGGTCACACCCTCTGTCCCTGTGTGTGCCACCCTCACCAGGCAGCCAGCTCCCATCTGCACCCCCAGCTGAGCAGGTTCTGCTCCCTGCAGGTGCTGCAGGCTCCCACTGCAGCCTGGTGGGAGCTGTGCTTACCTTGATGGAGAGCGCGTAGAGGTGATTGAGCATGACGTGGTTGGGCTCGGGCAGCAGGGCTGGGTCACACTAGGAGGAGAGGAGTGTCACAGGGGCACAGCAGAGCCCTGATCCCCCTGCCCCTGCCAGCACAGGGAGCTGCTGTCTCAGGCAGCTTGAGCTGCCACTGCCTCTGGCTCTTCTGAACAGGCACAGAGCTCAGCTAAGCACCAGAGGCCAATGGGAAAAGTGACACTTTTCCTAGGAAATGCCAAGGGCAGCCCAGGCTCCCTGCAGACAGAACTCCCTTTGTGACCCCAGTGTGGCTCTGTGAGTGGGCAGTAGCTGGTACACACCGAGATGTTGGTGTCCTTGTTGAGGATGACCTGGAGGAGGTGGGGCGGGAGGATGGGCGGCGATTTGAAGCGCTCCTCGGGCCGGTACACGTACATCTCCTGGCCGTAAGGTCCCGGTGGGGAGCTGGATAAATCTAGAGACAAGACAAAGGCAGAGACATGAAATGACTGAAGCAGGATGGGCGAGCACAGAGCAGCTCCTAAGAAGCTGAGAAGGACTCAGCAAGGTCTTTCAAGCACAAACATCCTCCACAAGCCATAGGCAGGGATGTATTCTGTAGCAACAGGTCAGCCTTTTCACAGCAGGAAAAGCAGCTGGGCAAGCCCATGGCAATTCCAAGCAGGGCTGTAAGCTGGTGCATGCACTGACACAACACAGACACCCCATGTTACCCACCACAAGACCCCTCAAGCACAGATCTCAGCTCAGCCAGGTCCCTCTCCCTGCAGGCAGCAGCTGGCATGCTCCAGAGCTGTGCCCTCAGCAGCAGGGGCACAGGGAGCAGGCTGCTCTAGGTGCTGCCTGATGAGGAGCTCCAGGGAAGGCAAACAGCAACTCTACACTGAGCAGCTGTTCCAAACATGGGAGGGACCTCAGGAGCTCGTGGGCACTGAATGCTGGACTGGCCACATCTGATCTGAACCTTTGGGAACAGCAGCTCCCAGAAGGGCTCCATCTCCTTGGGCTGCTGCTGCTTGCTGGCTTCTCTCCAGTACAGCATCTCTTGCCTGGGCTGAGAAAGGACATGGAGCTGAGCTGGGGCTGAACCAGGGACACACACACCACTGAGCTTCCTGCCAGCATTTCACACTGAGCCAGCACCACCAGTGCCTGGGTGGTAACCTAACCTGCTGCTGTAACACAAGCTCACAGGGAGGTTTGCAATGTGCTAGCACTGGTACAAATTACCTTGGCATGAAAACCAAGTGTAGCTGCTGAAAATAAACTGGATCCTGCTATCACCTAGCTTATACCTTGGATCAGATGACTTACAGTTGACCAGACAGAAAGGGCTGATGTTCCTGGCATTTCCCAGTCCAAAATGGCTCCCTCAGCCACGCACTGCAGCAGCTCTGCTCTGGGGTGGTGCTAGCACAGAACAAGTTACACCAACACAGCCCCTCCAGAGGGATGAGGCCTCAGCTGTGGGCTGAGGAGGGCACGCTGCCCAACACTGCCCACCCCAGTGAAGGCTCACACCTCTGCCCAGGGGTCTGTGCACCCAGAGCAGCGAGTCTCAGAGCAGAGGAGGTGGGAAATAGCACATGCAAAGCTCTAATGCCACAAAACTCACCCCGACCTGAGGTTTCAGAGCTTTCCAGGGAATCCACCTTCAACGCATCAAACACCTCAAAGTCAGACTTCTTGACGTGGATGAGGTTGTTTATCGTGCCCATCTGGCTGGTAACCACAGGCTGGAAAGAACTGGAGTGAGAATCTCCCTGTGTTCAGCTCCAGCTGAGGCACATTCAGTGCTTTCTAGATCCTCCCAGCCCAAGCTGTCTTTGCTGCAGCACTACCTCCGAGCACGGGAGGCTGGTGTAAACTCTGCCCTACACTTGTAGACCTCTCCTTTTTACCCTGGGAGGATTTTCCTTTATCACAGGCTCCTACATCACCTCCTATTTCCATCCTCCATCCTGCCCATGGGTAGCTGTGCTGTCCTTCCCATGCTGCTCCCCCATGATTCAGTCTGGAAGAGAACCTGTGAGTGCTGACCTCATGGCCCATCTTCCCATTGCCAATTCTCAGCGGGACTTGAGGGCTTCTGGCATTTCCCTGCCCCTTCCTAATGCTTCTCCATAAATCATGAATATGTCCAGAGGAACCAGCCTCTGAAATGACTCAGGGGATGGAGGTGTGCCTTTTGTTTCAGGAGACAGTCTCTGCTCTCCCTGCTCCCCCTCTGCTGCATTACGTCCTGTCTAGTTCCCTGAAGAAGCCAAGATCTGAAGGGATAAAGCTTGGAGCATTACCTCAGATGGATCATGAACCCACTGGCCATCCACAAAAAATTTGTACTGGTGCTCTCCTTCTGGAAGGTCCAGGATAGCAACAAAGTCATTGTGGCTGTGCAGAGAGAACAGATGCGCAAAGGCATCAGCCTGTTGACGCTCTGAATGCTGCTCTGCCATGGGGCCCCAGGAACCAGCACTGCCCAGCCCCTCTACCCCAACACCTTCATGCAGGGTCAGGCTTGCTCATCATCAGTGACCTAAGGCATGGCCACGACAGGCACGAGCATTCCAATGCTCCTTTGAGCATTCCAATGCTCCTTTGAGCATTCCAGGGCTCAAACCCCTGGCAGCCCAGCTGCAAGTGCCAGTCCTGCCCTCCATGCCCTGAGAAAGTGGATGTGACAGACACCCTGTGCAAGACAGGCTAAGAAGAACACGTGGGCAAAGTTCCTGCCCTGTGCTGGCACAGCAGGACAGGAACAAGTGAGACAGCTCTGTTTACCAAATCTGAAATTGAGATAAACTCATTCCAGATGAATTGCTAGAGTCCTACATGAGCTTCCATGTAAGTCACAGATGTGCTGCAGAACAGTGAGAACATCATTAGGGCAGGGAGATATGTGAGGGACAAACAACTAACACCCACTGGCAGCCATACAACTAGGCATGGGGTAATGCTGCAGCCAAGGGAAGAGCTGACAGCTTCCAGAGGGCTGCTGCATACCTGGGCAGGGCTCTGCTGCCAGCACTGGCTGCTGTGTGACATCCAGCTGGGCATGCAAAGTGGCCCATCCTGTCCCGTCCCTGTTTCACAACTTCCCACTGTCCCTGCAGCACCACGCAGGGATGCAGCTGACTGTGTATTTGCCTCAGACCCACAGCTTGAGTGAACAGAGAAAAGCCAAGAGAGCAAAGGAAAATGTTCTCTGCTCTGGAGCAGACACGAACATAGAGTAAATGACTTGAGGGCCTGGCTACCTCTTGATGAGGGGGATCTTGGTGCTCCAGTTGTTGAAGGATCCGGAGATGAAGACCTCCTTGCCTCCATCAGCCCAGCGTATGACAGTTGGACGAGCCTGCTGGGACGGCTTCACTGACTCCTCCAGATCTGGCTGCCACGACACAAACTCCTTGTCCCCAGGAATCTGGGCAAAGAAAACCAGAGAGATGTGACCGAATGAACACATCCACACAGCTGGCCTCTACCAGCCACACACAGGAGCACCACAGCGCTCCTCCAGGCCCCCAGGCATGGCTGGAAGCACAGCCCCACACAGGCAGTGTGCCTGGAGGGCAGGAGGGGAAGGCAGCAGGCAGCCCCTACCTTGGAGTCGTGGGAGCTGAAGACGCTGGGGTCGTCGGTGCTGCCCACCATGATCTTGTGCGGGTGCTCCTTGGCGGGGTGGGAGGCGCCGGAGCCGTCGGAGCGCTGGGACTTGGAGCCATGGCGCTCCCCGGACACCCGCTCGCTCGTGGTGTTCCCCATGGCCCCTCAGCAGCCCTGCAGGGACACAACAGCAACACTCTGCCTTTGCCCACGGCCCCGGCAGCAAGGAGAGGAGCAAAAGAGCCGTCTCCCAAATGCGCTTTGCCAGCGGAGATGAACAGCAGCCCTAAAAAAGGCCCCAAGTTCATTTCCACTACCAAGTTTGGGAGCTGAATGGGAATGCAACAAACAAACAGCTTGACCTAATTATAGCCACATCCTTAATAAAACCATCACTCTAGTTAAGTTGGTAATTATTAAGACTCCAAAACCAATACAACTTCACCTGTATCCCACATCAGCCCTCGGCAGCCAACAGAGTAGAGCTGATGTGAAAAATAAAGCCAACCTTTATTGTCAAATCAACTGCCTGGCGTTAACAGAGCCTCTTTCACAGTCCTGCAGTCAGGCTCTACAGACAACCCAGCAAGAAAACAGCCAGGGAGTGAAAGTAGCAGCTGTTTTACAGTCCCCAACAAGTCTCGGAGAGCTCGCAGGCAGAAGAGCAGAGCCTTGTGCCTGCAAAGGCGACGGGGAGCATTTAAAGTGTCCGAATGGAATCGCCCAGGCTGGAGCTTGTCCAAGGAGCAGGGCTAATGCTGTGGTGTCTGCAAAAAGCTCAGCTCTCAGCAGCATTCACTTATGATTCACCAGGCAAGGCACCGTGTCAGCTGCAGCACAGCACAGCGAGCAGGACCATTTGCTGTCACCTAGCCAGCACCTGCCCGGCTCTCTGCAGGGACACGGTGAGGGAAGGGCAGCCCTGGCCACCTCAGTGTCCCTCTGCAGCTGGAGATGGCCCCCATGCCCAATCTCACCCAGCCCAGAGAAAGCTAAACAGAACTGACCAAGCCATGAACAACCACACACCTTTTAGGATAAACAACAAAGCCACTGCAAGCTACACAGGACTCTTCAGGCCTTACCCTCTTTCCAGAAGCTGAGACGGACTGGGGTTTTTGCCCACTTCCAGGCTTATTTTGCAGCTTTCAGCTTACTGTGGGATCTGCAGAGCAAGCAAGGGGACAGCCAGCCTTGCTTCATGTGCTCACTTGCAACATTTGGAGGTTTGTTTAAAAGATCAAGTTATATGAAGGGTGCCAAGCGAGGCTGCCAGCCAAAGCCAGGGTTTAGAACATTATGGAGCAATTACTATTTCTTAAATCCTGAGGGCTAAAAGGCAGCTCAAGTCGGCAGCTAAGCCATACCCTCACCCCTCTCAGTGCAGATCAAGTACACCTGAAGATCTAGGTCAAATGAGCTACACCTCTTGCCCCGACATCTTCCCCCTCTGCTCTGCAGAGGCTCAGACAGCTCCTCACAAAAACTGCCCCTGTACCACCAGACCTGCTGCTGAGGAGTTTCCTCTCCAGGATCTCCACTGAAGCTCCCTTATTTCTCATCTACAGGGAAGAAGGTGGGAAAGGCTCAACTTCCCTTGAAGCAGGACACACCTGGGAGATATGTGCAGGTGTTAACAGGTGGGAAGCTTCCCTTTCTCTTCTCCAAAAGGATTCCAGTCCCTCTGTCCCTTACAGGCCACGCTCTCCAAACAATCCCTGACGTTTATCCCAGGTTCCTGTCTGGCGTGTGCCACCTGCATCCCCTGCATCACACACACAGGCACCCATCCTGTGCCAGGACAGGTCTTTGTGCACAGCCTGCAAAACCCACCTTTGCTGAGTTAACTTTTACAGCTCAAACCCTCCTGCATCCAGGCCAGCCCTTGTAGCACTGGGAGATGGCATGACACAGGTACACCCAAGTCAAGGATGGAAATGCTGCCCACACCACAGCCCCAGCAAACCTCCACGGCACATACCAGCCTGGCAGCAAGACCCTGCCAGCCACAGCCCACGGCAAGGCGCCGGCCTGCCCCATCACCGGGGCCCTTCAGCTCCAGCCAGCCCCAGCTTCTCATGTGGAAAATGACATGTGAATTACACCCATTGCCCTCCCCGGGATGTGCCACGCTTGCTGCCTCTCCCACCCGGCCAGAGACCGCGCTGGGAAGCACCGGGCAGGCAGCCTGAAGGGATTCGGCAGGAGGGATGGGATGGGATGGGGTCTGTCCGGGAGCACCGCGAGCACCGGCAGGCATTCATTGCCGGGGGCTCTGAGGCAGGGATGGGGTCTGTCCGGGAGCACCGGCAGGCATTCATTGCCGGGGGCTCTGAGGGAGGGATGGGGTCTGTCCGGGAGCACCGGCAGGCATTCATTGCCGGGGGCTCTGAGGCAGGGATGGGGTCTGTCCGGGAGCACCGGCAGGCATTCATTGCCGGGGGCTCTGAGGGAGGGATGGGGTCTGTCCGGGAGCACCGGCAGGCATTCATTGCCGGGGGCTCTGAGGCAGGGATGGGGTCCTGCATCTCGCCGGGCTGACACCACCCGGGGAAGGCGGATCCGCCCGGACTCTCCCTCTCTCGGAGACGAGAACCAGAGCCGAGCCCGGAGCTCGCCGTAAGGTGAAGGGGATGAGCTGGGAAAGCGGGGGCGGAAAATCTCCCTCCGAGCAGGCAGGGCTGGGGCTGGGGCTGTGCTCGGCGGGGGCGGTGGCGGGGCTGTCACGGCGGGCTCGGCCCACGGGCACCCGCGGGTCTACCGAGGCCCGGGGGAGGAGCGGGACACACCGGCAGGGCCGGGCCCTCCCGAGGGGCTGCCAGACGGGGTGCGCCCGCTGCGGGGTCCGGGACACCGCTACACCGCGGGGACGCGCAGCCACGCCTCACCCACCGCCTCCCGCAGCGGCGCCCGGGGAGCCGCCACCCTCACACCCACCCGCGACACCCGCCCCGCCGTCCCCGGGCCCGGGCCCGGCCCGACCCCACCTGCCGCTGCCGCCGCCGCCGCCCCGCTCTCCGCCTCCGTCCAAGATGGCGCCACCCCCCGCCGGCCGCTGTGGGGCGCTCTGACCCGCCCCCGCCGCGCTCCGCGGCCGCGCCCCGCCCCCGACCCGCGGCCCCGCTGCCGGGCACACGCCATGTTTGCTGCGGGCGGCCGGCCCGCCGCTGGCCGGGGCGCACGGGGCGGGGGCCGCGCCGCCTCAGCCGCCGGCGGCCATGTCTGCTGCGGGCAGGGCTGCGGGGTGCCGCCCCTGGGCCGGCGGCACCCCCAGGATGGAGCTCAGACTGACGCAGCCAGGCACTGTGCTGTCCGGTCCCCGCGGCACGGTGACAAGCTTTATTGCCTTTTCCCGGGGCCCCCGCTTGGGCACGTTCCCAGTTTCTCCACCACCTCTGTGACCTAAGCCATAGATAGAGCTCGTGGGGCTGCCGGGCCAGGACTTAGGGAGCTGTTCCCAGAGCAGCCTTTGAGCAGGCTCGGTGGTATCACAGCGGGAAAGCGCAACAGAGCAGGCTGCACCCTCAAGGAACGGCTCCCTCCGTACTCCGGCGCAGCTAGCGAGGGAAAGCCCAAGGGAAAAGGAGGAGACTGCCGGCAGCACCCGCTGTCTCCTTCCCTTTAGGCTAAGCAGAGAGCGAGACGTAGATGAGGGTGGCCATAATCATGCCGATGCTGAAGAGCACCGTGAGGACGTGGGGCAGGGCGCTGGGCCGGGCGGGGCGGCGGGCGGCCCGCGGCTGCAGGGCGCTGACCATGCGCTGCTGCTGGGTGAGGATGGCTTCCCTGGCTCCTGCCCACGCACCCGGGCCCCGCAGCCGGTACTGGTACGGCGTGCACGGACCGAAGACCATCTCCATGGCCAGCCTGGGGTCCGTGAGGAACAGGGAGAGCAGGCTGGGCTTGACCCCCAGCTGGCAGGCGAGCTCGTCCATGTAAGGGATGTAATCCACCTGGACGGTGTGCCGCTGGCTCTTCACGTACCTGCGGGCAGCGAGGAGGGCAGGTGGGTGCTGGAAGCAGAGCTGGCAGGTGCCCTGCACATCAGGAAGGCAGTATTGGACTGTGGGTAGTGTGGCCAATGACATCCCTGCCCTCTGTTGGCACACAGAAATGTGCCAGGACACCTCCATGGGACAGGATGGATGCCCATGAGCAGCTGTGCCTAAGGCATCCCTGCAGGGATCTTACCTCTTTGCCATGGCTTCTTTCTTCTGCTCAATGTCAGCCTCCATGTCGTGCTGCAGGGGCAGCTCGTTCAGCCCTGGGGAGGATGAGACACAGCAGCCACTGTGGTGCTGGCCCTGCCTGGGTGCTGTGCCTGTGCCAGCACCACCGTGGTGCGTGGGCTCGCACCTGGGGCGTGTCCAAGTGCCACGGGATGGGAAGGAGCAGCCTGTGGAGCTCAAGGTATGGATGTGCCTGTGCCTCTCAGAGAAGAGGCCATCTCACTGACTGCCCTCACTCCAGGACTGCATCCACACATCCACAAAGCAGGTTTGCCTGACTTACCTTTGAAGACACGGATGGCCCAGCGACTCTGGAGCTCTGAGATGGGCATGATGGCTCCCCAGGGCTGGATGAGGCCAATGAAAGCCAGCGTTGGCTTCTCCAGATCAGTGGGGAACACGAATTTGTAGAGGGGAATCTGGTTCTCCACCACCTTCACGCAGCCGTCGAGGAACGGGAAGGAGAAGCTGTATCCTGTGGCAAAAACTACAACATCGACATCTTCCCTGGTGCCATCCTCAAAGATGGCAGATGTCTCTGTGAACTCCTGGATGTTCGGTTTCATCCGCACCCTGCCCGAAATGATGCGGTTGGGCAGGTCGTCATTGACAGTGGGGTGTGTGTCAAGGACCCTGGAAGGCACAGACAGACCTGGTTCAGGTCCTGGCAGGGGGATGGGCATTGCTGGAGCAGGTACCTGGGGTGCTGCTGGGGCGCTCACCCATGCTTGGGCTTTAGGCCGTAGAGTGTGTGGTCAAAGCGGGCATTCAGCTTCCACTCCATGAAGAAATTCAGGATACTTTTAGGCACCACATTCTGCACGAGGTGCAGGAAGCGAGTGCCGTAGTTGTAATCAAAGGGGTACCCATTGTCTGCCACCCGGTGCAGCACCCAGGACCCACGCCTGGTGCTGAGGAAAACCTGGAAGGAAGGTGAAGAGAGGTGGTGGCACGGCAGCATGCTCAGACTGGGCTGGGCCCCTGCTGTGCTCCAGGGACAGGGAAGCCAGCACAGCTAACCACAGGAGCCACCACCACTGAAAGGGGACAGGGTGCTTGTGCCAGGTGCTGGAGGCTGGGGAGCCCACAGGGGATGGTGGGTGATGATCCCCCCCTCTGGGATCCCATCCCTGTGAGCTCTCCCAGCACACCTGCTTGGCTGTGTGGCTCAGCTCCACTGCGATATCGATGCCTGAATTCCCAATGCCAACCACGACCACCCGTTTTCCAAAGAAAGGCTGAGGGTTCTTGTAGTCCCGGCTGTGCAGGTAGCAGCCCTCAAACTTCTCCAGCCCTGGAAGAGAGAGGGAAGCCATGCTGGGATGTGGAGCAGGAGGGTGGCTGCCCCCTGTTCAGACTGGTGGTGTGTTTTGGGAACAAGATAGCACCAGTGTGACCAACCGGAGTTATGCAGCCCTGGGGTAGTGCCCAGAGGTGGTGGCATCACCAGCATGGAAGATTCTCAGTGTAGCCCTGAGCATCCTGCTTAAGCTTTGGGACTAGCCTGGCTTGGAACAGGGCTTGGAGTGGAGAATTCCATGCTTCCATCCCAGAATTCTGCTGCAGATCCTGTCTGGTGCCATGCATTGCCAGTAGAGGAACAACCAGGGTCTGTGCCATCTCGCCAGACCCTGGTGACAGTGTGCTCCAGCCTGTTCCCCAGCCAAAGAGGGCCTCCACAGCTGAAAGCTCTCCAGGCATTTTCCCCTGGCACCCAGAGACAAGACCACCACCAGTGCTGAGCCCTCCAGCCTTGGTGAGGAGCTGGAGGGCCCAGCAGGTGCTCGGCCGGCAGCATGGGGAGGGAGCCTGTCTCAGGTGGGAGAGGCACGCTGGCAGCGGTGACATCTGCCAGCAGGATGCTTTGGACACTTACAATCCCACCTGGTGTGTTAAACCTGCAGAGGCACTTAGGGATGCCAGGGAGCGGGCAGGCAGCCCACAGGCAGTACCTGGGAAGGAGCCGAGCGGGAGATGAGCGTTGGTGTGGTGCCCGCTGCACACCAGCACGGCGTCGAAGACGGCCGCCTCCTGCTTGCCCTCGCTCTCGGTCAGCACCTCCCACTGCCCGCTGCTGGCGAAGTCGGGGCGCTTGGACACGCGGCACACGCTGGTCTGGCACAGGGCAGCGCTGTCAGGCCCCCCGTGCCCCGCTCCCGCCGCCACCGCCCCCTCGGGCCCCGCGCCTCACCCTGAAGCGGATGTGGCGCAGCAGGTCGAAGTGCTGCGCGTACATGCGGAAGTACTCCATGATCTTGGAGTTGTGCATGTAGTTGGGGAAGTCCTCGGGGATGGGGAAGTCGCTGAAGCACATCATCTCCTTGGAGGTGTTGATGATGACGGAGCGGTAGATGCTGGCACGGCCGTCCTCGGGGTGCTCCTGTGGGAGGGGGGCACAGCTCAGCGCTGCCCGGGGAACGATGGGCCACCTGCCTGTCCCGCCTGGCACCTCCCCCGTGGGTGCAGGATTAAGCTGCACGTTGTTGTGCCACCCATCCCCGCACCCAGAAATTCTCCTGTGGTTGAGACCCCCCGCCCCAAAAAACAGGGATGTGTCTCGGGACTGGCGGGAGCCAGGCAGTGGTGACAGTGGGTCATGGTGGCCTTGTGCCTCAGTTTCCCCACTTCCACTGCTTGCCCCTATGAGACAGAGCATTCCCAAAGCTCCTGTGGTGCCATTGCCCTGGCTGCCACATCAGGTCTCACCAGTTGTGGAGGCAGCTCCAGTGCTGCCTGCTGAGTGGTTGCTCCTGCTTACTCGGTCTGTGCCTTGACAGCTGGATGCTGCTGCTCTGGTTCTGCTCCACCAACCCTGTCCCTGACCCATCACAGGTAGAACTAGTGGACTGTGACAGGTCCACCCCAGACCCCACTCTGACATGATGCCACCTGTTTTCCCCCAGGGCTCTCCCACAATCATATCAGAGCATGGTGGGAACACTGGTCATTTTGTTGGTGGGTCCATGGGATTAAAGTCAGCAGCTTCATTAGGTGGGAGCAGAGACAAGCTCCAGGATTGCACGGAGAGAAAGCACAGAGAAGGCAGGACACAGTGTCTCTATGTAGGCGATTGGCACAGAATCAGAAAGAGGAGCAACCATGATTCCAGGAAAGGGCTGGGCAGAACAGGGACAGACAGTGGGGTCAGATAAGACAAGATAGATATGCAAGGGCTGGGCAGAACAGGTACCCACAGTGGGGTCAGATAAGATAAGATAATATAAGATAGGTAGGCAAGGGCTGGGAGTGTCCAAGAGCAAAACAGCAGAGTAAGGTGTGGATGAGACTGGGAAGGGAGGAATGGGAAAGGGGAGATTACGCTGGGGGAGCAAGCCATGGATTGAATTTCTTGAGGCGGCTTCATCCTGCTGCTGCAGAGCAGGAGCTGGGTCCTAAGTGCCTGGCACACCAGCTGGCACCACGCTGCCAAACCACTTTTATTTTCCTTCGTTTTCCTCGGAAAGCTGCCTGCCACATGCATGCAAAGCAGGGGAACGGTGCATGGTTATCTGCCAAGGACTGATCCCAAGCCCGTCCGTGCTGCTGCCAAGGAGCAGCCTGGCTGCTCAGGCCTTACCTCAAAGCGCCAGAGCCCCCCGATGTCCTTGCTCCTCTCAAAGCAGGTGGCCTCCAGCCCCTCATCCAGGCAGCACTTCAGGGCGCACAGGCCGGAGGCGCCGGCGCCGATGACGGCCACTCTGCGAGCAGCCATGTCCCCCGGTGTGGTGGTGGCAGGGGTGTGGGAGAAGCTGTGGTCAGGAGGTGCAGAGCCAGGCGCGTCCCTCAAGGGAGGCTGCCCGCTGCTGCTCGTTTTGAGAGTGACTGTCCCTATATTTCCTGTGGGTGGCCAAGGTGTTACAAGATCTTCCAGACACGATCTACAGGTTTCTCTCAACTCTTTGCCACACCTCCTGGCCTGCCCTGCCCTCTGCAAGAGGTGCATTAAGTTCTGTAAGCGTTTAATGATGCTGACAGTGCCCCAGGACTTCCTGGGCAGGGCAGAGATGTGGCTGTGCTTTGGATTTCGGCAGGTTGCAGCGTGGAAGACAAACCTAGGGGATTGGGGGGGCGGTGGGGGCTGGCATGACCGCCCCAGGCATCTGATGGACAGGACCCCCACCCTTTACCCACTCTGGGTCCCCAGCCCACCCAGCCACCTTCTGGAGGAGCTGTGTGCAGGTGACCAGGGTGGCACTGAGCTGTGCCTCGTGACCACCAGGACCCACTGTGGCGGGACACACCTTGGGAGAGGCTGTCTCGCTGTGGAGTGTGTGTGCACGTCAGCCTATGGTGTAATAGGCCAGTGCTACAAGGCCGATCTCAAACCCATGAGCATTCCCACAGCACACGGAGAGTCGTGATGGTGTCAGTAGGAGGACAGACACTTGGCTGTTTATTGCATTTATCCACTTAGAAAGTGTGCTGTGCCTTTGCTGCTTAGCTCTGGTGTGCGTGTGGCAAAGTTGGCACGGCTGGGTTACAGGGGACAGAAAAGCCCGGAGTGCTGGCTGAGAGGGACTGGAATTTAGCCTGCAGTGAGCAGGTTTCCTCCTCAGTCCATGACAGCATTCCCCAAGGGGAGGTGCAGAGCAGGAGCCCAAGCATTATTTTGGCAGCTGGGGAGGCTCTGTGCATCCCTAGTTCATGGTGTGGGCACAGCTGGGCTGTGCCAGGCAGCAGGAAGGTTTCTGCCACCACTGGGGTGCACAGGCTGCCGAGGGCCAGAGGTGGCCAGCCAGTCCCGCAGCCCATTGCAAAGCTGTCCTGGTTTAGGGAGTCACCCCAGGACAAAAGCCTCCCTTCCTGAGCTTGCAGGGCACCTACAAGTAAGCAAAAACAGCTGCCAGGATGGCCACAGCCCCGATCAGCTTGAAGATGAGGGGTATGGCAGGGGCTGAGGTGTTCTCTTCCACGGGTCGTGTCTGCAGGGGCTTGAGGATGCGCTGCTGCTGGGTGAGGATGGCTTCCCTGGCTCCTGCCCACGCACCCGGGCCCCGCAGCCGGTACTGGTACGGCGTGCACGGACCGAAGGCCACCTCCATGGCCAGCCTGGGGTCCGTGAGGAACAGGGAGAGCAGGCTGGGCTTGACCCCCAGCTGGCAGGCGAGCTCGTCCATGTAAGGGATGTAATCCACCTGGATGGTGTGCCGCTGGCTCTTCACGTACCTGCGGGCAGCGAGGAGGGCAGGTGGGTGCTGGAAGCAGAGCTGGCAGGTGCCCTGCACATCAGGAAGGCAGTATTGGACTGTGGGTAGTGTGGCCAATGACATCCCTGCCCTCTGTTGGCACACAGAAATGTGCCAGGACACCTCCATGGGACAGGATGGATGCCCATGAGCAGCTGTGCCTAAGGCATCCCTGCAGGGATCTTACCTCTTTGCCATGGCTTCTTTCTTCTGCTCAATGTCAGCCTCCATGTCGTGCTGCAGGGGCAGCTCGTTCAGCCCTGGGGAGGATGAGACACAGCAGCCACTGTGGTGCTGGCCCTGCCTGGGTGCTGTGCCTGTGCCAGCACCACCGTGGTGCGTGGGCTCGCACCTGGGGCGTGTCCAAGTGCCACGGGATGGGAAAGAGCAGCCTGTGGAGCTCAGGGTATGGATGTGCCTGTGCCTCTCAGAGAAAAGGCCATCTCACTGACTGTCCTCACTCCAGGACTGCATCCACACATCCACAAAGCAGGTTTGCCTGACTTACCTTTGAAGACTCGGGTGGCCCAGCGACTCTGGAGCTCTGAGATGGGCATGATGGCTCCTAGGGGCTGGATGAGGCCAATGAAAGCCAGCGTTGGCTTCTCCAGATCAGGAGGGAACACGAATTTGTAGAGGGGAATCTGGTTCTCCACCACCTTCACGCAGCCGTCGAGGAATGGGAAGGAGAAGCTGTATCCTGTGGCAAAAACTACAACATCGACATCTTCCCTGGTGCCATCCTCAAAGATGGCAGATGTCTCTGTGAACTCCTGGACGTTCGGCTTCACCCGCACCCTGCCCGAAATGATGCGGTTGGGCAGGTCGTCGTTGACAGTAGGGTGCTGTTGAAAGACCCTGGAAGGTGCAAGAAGCCATTAGGGCTGGGAAGGGAGTGTCTCTGCTCCGTGTCCTGCTCCAGCTGCTGCTCCCTACTCTGGGGCAGCTGCCCCTACACTGCTGTCTCCAAGAGTCCTTGGAAGGGGCAGTGAGTGGTGGCTCCCTCAAGCCCTGCCTGGGCACAACAAGATAATAACTCAGTCCAAGGACAGGGAGCAGGGAATGGCCAAGCTGGGCAGGACACAGAAGGAGGCAGATGATCCCTTCTAGGCAGGGGAGTGTTTGGGGATACCTGTGCTTCGGCTTGAGGCCGTAACGTGAGTGATCGAACCTGGCATTCAGCTTCTTCTCCATGAAGTCACACGTGATGGAGGAGCTGAGCAGCCCCTGCAGGAACGTCTTCAGGCGGGTGGTTAAGATGGTGTCGATGGGGTAGCCCTGATCTCCAACGCGGTTGAAGATCCACGCACCCCTGCGGGTGCTGAGGAACACCTAGACAAGGAAGGAGGATCTCTGCCTGAAGGTGTGGTAGTCCTGGGAGGGCTGCCCTGCGGGGGACGTGCCCTTGCCCTGGGATCACTCTGCTTTTAAAGCAGAGTGGGTAAAGACCCAGAGGGCAGAAGGAGATGGTGGCTGGCATCTCGCAGGGGAATAGGACCAAGTCTCAATTGCCTGGCAGCTGGGTTTGGCAGGAGCCAGCACTGCCAAACACAGCGAGTGCTGGCATGGAGAAGCAGCTCTGCAAGTGCCTTGGTCCTGGTGTCCCTGCAGAGCTGACAGTGTCCCACAGGGGCAATCCTGCTCGCTGGGACCCCCTACTCCTGCTTACCTGCTGGGCTGTTTGGCTGATCTCCACAGCCAGGTCTGACCCTGAATTCCCAATCCCGATGACAACAACCCTTTTGTCTCTGAAAGCCTGAGCATCCTTGTAGTCCCGGCTGTGGAGGTAGCGGCCCTTGAACTTCTCAATTCCTGTGAGCAGAAGGAGGAGGGATGCTTGGCTTCCTGGTGCCAGGTTGGAAGATCACCTCCTAAAGACTGGAGACGCTCCCTTACCCCACCAAACCACTCCTGCGGAGCACAGGAGCCCACAGCAAGGCAGGGAAATGCTGAGGCCAGGGGGAAAGCAGCAGGGAGAATAGGGACAGGCATGGACTAGCTTTCCAGCGTCTCTGGTGTCCCCTCACACCAGTGCACAGGGCCGTACCTGGGAAGGAGCCGAGCGGGAGATGAGCGTTGGTGTGGTGCCCGCTGCACACCAGCACGGCGTCGAAGACGGCCGCCTCCTGCTTGCCCTCGCTCTCGGTCAGCACCTCCCACTGCCCGCTGCTGGCGAAGTCGGGGCGCTTGGACACGCGGCACACGCTGGTCTGGCACAGGGCAGCGCTGTCAGGCCCCCCGTGCCCCGCTCCCGCCGCCACCGCCCCCTCGGGCCCCGCGCCTCACCCTGAAGCGGATGTGGCGCAGCAGGTCGAAGTGCTGCGCGTACATGCGGAAGTACTCCATGATCTTGGAGTTGTGCATGTAGTTGGGGAAGTCCTCGGGGATGGGGAAGTCGCTGAAGCACATCATCTCCTTGGAGGTGTTGATGATGACGGAGCGGTAGATGCTGGCACGGCCGTCCTCGGGGTGCTCCTGTGGGAGGGGGGCACAGCTCAGCGCTGCCCGGGGAACGATGGGGAAGGATGGCTGGGGCTGATGAGGATCTTCTTTTCATGGAGCCCCTGCCCTCAGTCTCACCCAGAGGATCCCTCTATGGCCGGCTGCCCCCCAGTAGCCACCACGGACCCCTGAGGGTCACCGTGCTGACTCCAAGCAGGACACGAGGCCAGCAGGGTTTACCTCAAACCTCCAGAGGCCTCCGATGTCGCCGGTCCTCTCGAAGCAGACGGGCTGCAGCCCCTCCTGGAGGCAGGCTTTGATGGCGCACAGCCCGCTGCTGCCCCCGCCGATGATGGCCACCTTCTTCGCCATGCTGCGCTCCAGCGCCGGCTCTCTGCCTGCGGACAGCGTCGGACAGCAGGCCTGAGCTGTCAGGGCTGCGACTGTGCAAGGTTTGACCCTGCTCAGGGAGGTCCCAAGCAACAGAGGCAGCCCCTCAAAAGTTTGTCTGGGGTTGCAAAGCCGCTGCTGTCCCCCGCCAGGTGTGGACCTGGCCAGTGCTGGGTTTTGCACTACTGTGGTGCCGCCTCTGGACGCCTTGAGGACAAATCCCACCGAGTGTCAGGGAGCCTCAAAGTCTCCTTGCCCGTGCCATGTCCCGGCGATGGAGGTGCCCTGAAGTGCTGTGCCCTGCTGTGGGGACCCACAGCTCCCTCCCCGTGGGTGACAGCCCCTCCGCCTGCCCTTTGCCCTCTCCCTTCCCCGCGGAGATGGCTGTCGTGCTGTCGCGGTGCCCGCTGGTGCCGGCAGCTCGGGGGACAGCCTTCACCGACCTGCGGCCGTGGGACGAGCAGCCCAGGGAAGGCTGGCGGCGGGCACGGGGCCGTGCGAGGCTCCGTGAGGCCGGCCCGCGGCCTGGCTCGGTGGTGCGCAGCGTCCGGGAGCGGGGCCTCCCCCTCCGTCACTCCTCCCACGGGCGCGGGGAGAGGAAGCCCGGACCCGGCTGGCTCCCGGCCGCCTGCTCGGCTGTTCATGCCGCGGTGGCGCCTCAGCCTCGACCGGCGGCCGCAGGAGCCGTCCCAGGGCATGTGCTGCGCGGGGACACGGACACGGAGCCCATCCTTGTGGTTGCGTGCTTGGTAAACAAGCGCTGTCCTGGATTTTGACCCTAGGATTATCGGGATCAGCCCACGCCCGCTTGTTGTGGTACCCGGGGTGACACACCGCTCTGGCTGCTCCAGGGGCAGCCGGCACTGGATCGCCCACATCCCCTGTGCCCCGGGCTGGGCGTGTCGGCACAGTGTCCCCGTAGCCACGGCTCACCCCTGGGCTAGCAGAGTCCTTGGTGCCAGTGGGACCCCGATGAGAGGAGCACCACGCCGCTGGGGTGTCCCTGGTGTGAGGGTGGTGGGACAAGCCAGGAAAAGGCTGTCCCTCACAGACCATGCGGATCCAAACTTGCTGCTGGCTCCTGGCACGCTCACAGCCAGACAGCCCCTGAGGCTGCGGGGGAAATTTGCTCTTCCATATGCAGAGAACTTTGCTGTAGAGCTGAGCAAGGCAGAGGGGCCAAGCTCTGCAGCTGAAGTGGTTTTAACCTTATAAACTCATAGTATGTTTGCAGTAAGCTTAATAAAGCTCTTTCTGTCCCTTGCTGTCAGCAAGGGCTGATCTCTGCCCGAGGCAGAGACGCTGAGCTGCCAACCCACACTCTGTGCCTGGCTGCCAAAAAGCATCAAAAGCATCTTACCAAGCAAGGGATCAGCACGGGAATGGAGAGCTGGCAGCACAGGCAGTGCTACTCTTCCTGCTCTGCTGTCAGCTGGCTTCTGGCTCTTGCAAGCTCTGCACAGACTGCTCGAGGGCAACAGGTACAGGGGACCTCTCAGAGCTCTCCACCGCTCTGCTGTTGCTATGAAACCTCTGTGCAGGCTGCCTCTGAATTTGCCCTTCTCCCTGCAGGAGGCTGCACAGCCTTGGACTTTACCCCCTTGTAGCTGGACTCAGTACACACAAACTGTGCTGCCGGGCAGCAGGGGCATGCCGTGACATTTTGGTTTAGGTTGGCATTTGGTTGGTTGATGTCTGTGGAAATTCACAGTTCCCCATACCTGGCAAGCCCCCAGGATGCAGATTGTGTGCAGCAGTGCCTGCTGTACGGTGTCTGCTCTGGGCTGCCACAGCGGGCAGAAATGCCATGGGACAAGTGGAGCAGAACCTCCTCTGTCCTATCATGGCTGCACACGCTTGGAGGTGACAAGCACAGAGAGCAAAGGTCTCTCTGGTGGAGCTGCAGAGAAGCACAGAAGAGCTGAGAGGGTGCCAGGCAGCCTGTGACCCAGCAGGGCTGTGCAGGGGTGATGGTGGGTGCTACCAGGGTCTCATGGAGTGTCATGCAAGTGAGTCAAGAGCCACTTTTTGGCACACACGTGTGGGAGCCACAGATGCACAACAAGCCCTGCCCACCCACAGTGTGCCACCTGCCTGTGCTCCCACAGCCACCACAGGGCTGGTCCTCTGGGGCAGGAGGGCTGGCTGGAGTGTCCTGGTGCTGCTGTGCAATTGCCAGACTGGCCCAGCTGGCTGCCAGGCCTGCAGTGCAACCCAGGGGATTATTTTTTGGTCAGACCTGGAAGCTTCACTGTCTCACCCTGTCAGTGAGTCAGGGTTCATCTCCAGGGGAACCTTGTCATGTCAAGCACTTCCATTTCAGCCCCTGTACAAGTGACAGTGACAGGGTGCTTATACCAGCAGCCATCAGGCTGCTCCTGTGTACACTCCACCCAGGAGAACAGCACACTTAAACACTGCCTGGTCTTAATATAACTTAATTGGTGTTTGCCAGGGCCTGAGTGCACTTAGACCTCAATGACCACAAAGAGCCTCACCTGGGCCCAATCCCTTTACCCGTGCCAGGAGCACTGTTGAAGCTGATTATGTGAGCTCAGTCTACAGCCCTCACTCTCTGCCTGGCTGTGGTGCTTGCTAAAGTGTATTCTATGATTTTCTGGCTCAGTCTCTGCCCCAGCTCATTACAGAGACTCCTTGTGGTCCCCTCCTGCCAAGGACCAGCAGCCCTCTGTGAAAAACAGGCTGCCAGTGGTGCCAGGGGAGGAAAGCCAGCCTGCCTGGAGCACAGGGAGCCGTGGCCGTGGTCGGCAGAGCCAGGCCTCTTGCTGGAGGAGGTGCAAGCAAGGCTCAGACCTGGGGCTGGGTGTGTTTCTGGGCTCTGGGAAGGGGCTGGCTCTGCAGGACTCTCTCTGCAGCCTGGAATATGCTATTGATCGGGAATTGCTGTGAATGCATTGTAACCCCTGAGAAACTGAAAACCCTGTGGAGGGCAAAAGGAACTGGGAAGCTCTGGACAAAAGCTTCAGGTGCAGGCTGCTGCTGGGGGCTGCTCGTGGCTGCCCACTGAATGGTCAACCCTTCAGTGCCACTGTCCTTTCCCATAGACTCTGGGGGCCATGTGCTCGACATGTAGCCTTAGTGCAGCACTTAAATTGAGAGCAATAGGGAAGAGATTGCTTAGGGAGGCAAAACTCTGCCTAACTCTGAGGAAAGAGCCCTGTGGGTCCCCTCCAGGCAAGTGTTGTAGAGCAGGCTGTGCAGGGTATGCTTGCAACAGCAGCATGATCAGTGTATTTATAGGATACAGATACAGGGGTGATTGCAGAGAAACCTCTGCAGAGTCACAGCTACCACGTACAGCACGGGCCATTGCAGGTGCCCAGAGAGCATGCAGATTCACAGTATGAGCAGCGAGCTGCCGGCTGGGTGTGCTGAGCCCTCCCCAGGCTCTGCAGAGACTGCTTTTGGTCACCAGAGAACAGTCAGCGCAGCCCCCGCCTGGCGTCCCACGGGAGGGCAGGACAGCACCAGACATCTGAGCGCAGGCCTGCAGCCTGCAGCACCGCTCCTGGGGAAGCCTTTGCCGGACTGACGGGCTTCAGGACGCCCCCTCAGCACCAGAATCCCGTCCCGTGTGTGCTCAGAGCGGCAGCACAGGGCCCCCGCCGCGTGCCGAGGGCGCTCAGCGGCTCCAGAGCGCAAAGAGGGCGGGCGCGGTGGCCGGGGACAGCCAGCAGCGCTCCACCACGCCGTAGAGCGCGTAGCCCAGCAGCAGCCCGAAGAGCACGTCCGTCATGTTGTGCCTGCCCAGCATGACCCGCGAGACGCTGACGATGAGGGCCCAGAGCACCACGAGCACGCGCAGCGGCACGGCCAGGACCAGGTGGCGCAGCACGAAGCGGCACACGAGGGCGGCCCTGGTGGCGTGGCCCGAGGGGAAGGAGTACTTGTCCACCGAGACGGTGACGAACATGTCCATCTTGTTGTGCGTGGGCCGCGGCCGCTTGACGAGCCCCTTCACCACGGCCACCATCAGCAGGTCCAGCAGCAGCGCTGGGAGAGACAGCAACAGGGGTTACTGAGAGCGGGACCATCAGCCAAGGGACAGTGGCTGTCAAAGCTGCCTGAAGGGGACGTTTTTGCCCATGGCTGCAAGACCCAGGCAGGGAGAGCACAGCACACAGCTGCTCTTGGCCTTCTGCAGCAGCAGGAGCACATCCTCAAGCTCTGCTCCTCTGCACACACCTCTCCTGCCCCAGCAGCCCCTTGGCCTGCCACAGCCTGCACCCCAGGGCTTTTCTCTCTGCAGAACCTGATCTTGCCATGACTCTGGGCCCAGTCTCCTCCTGCAACAGAGGCATGAAGTCCCCAGAGCTCCCTTGCTGGCAGTGCTGACTCTGCACTGCTCTCTGCCCTGCTGACCGGGGTCAAACCCGCTGGGTGAATGATCAACCCACTCCCCTTGGGCACAGGTCAGCCAAGGGGAAATGCTCAGGGCTGGTGGCCTGCCAGGGCTCCTGGGGTCTGCCTGCTCCCTGCTGCTGGGGGAAAAGTTAACCTTGTTCTGGTTCTCAAGAGATGAATCAAGGATAAATTATGGTGGCTTGCCCCTGAGGGCTAAAGGCTGTTGTCACAGAGGAGGCAAAGCACCTGTGATAAATGTTCAGACAGTATTTGGCAAGAGCAGCTTCTCATCTAGGGCAGAGGGTACTTTCCCCATCCCTGTTAGCTCAGCTTAGCACAGCACCCACAGCCAGGGCTACTTCTTGTTGTGTGAGAGACCAACTTCTGTTTGTCCTAAGACATTTCTGGACACCAAACGAAATCTTTTGGTCGCTTCAGTTAATTTCCTTTGGTTAATCATTTAAGACCAAATTTCCTTTTTGTTTTTTTCTCCCTGACATGTTAAACTAGATTAACTGCTTTTTCTCTTTCTACACAGGATCTGGGAATTCAGGTTGGACATGAGGGAATCCTTCTTCCCCACAGGGGTGCTGCAAGCCAGGGACAGATCCCCAGGGAGATGGGTGGCTATGCCCAGAGCACTGAGGTGCTGGGACAGCTCTCCTTGGAGCAAAGGTCAGGCTGGAGGCATCCAGTTCTGCCGTGGGGCTCCAGTTTAACCACGTGCTGCTAGATGAGAAAGATGCACAAAACTATGTTTCCCACCAAGCAAATTTCAATTCGAAATTGAAGTGTGAGATACTAATTATTTGCTACTTAATACAAGACTAACAACAGAGAGAAGGTCTGGTATCCTAGAGCTATAACAGTTTCCAAATATGCAAAAATTAATCCTCTTAGTGTTAGGCTGTTCTGTGTGTATGAGATACTACAGCACGCAGGGTTAAAAGTCGTGCTTTAAACCAGGTTTCCTCACCGGCTGGAACAGAACAATCCACGAAAGCCCTGCGGGCATGAAGCCAAGGGTCTGTGTGCCAGAGCAGCTTTTCAGGGGAAGGCCTGGTGTCTCAACACTGCCCCTGGAGCGTGCTGTTGTGACAGGCGTGGGGAGCCGAGCCTTCAGCCCGAGAGCGTTTTGTAACCGCGGGAGTTTGCCAGAGCGTGGTGCCAGCTGTGCCAGGTGACTCGTGGCGCTGCCACCGCGCCCTAAAGCCGGGTGAGCCCGCACGGGCTGCTCGAAGCCAGCCGGTGCTCTCGGCTGCTGTGCTGAGCCCCGTCCCTCGGGTCGCCCTCCCCAGTCCCCGGCTCACCGAAGAGCAGGTTGAGCAGCACCTCCCTGGCCGCGGGGCTGTCGGTGTGCCAGAGCCCGTAGACGGTGCCGAGCACCCAGGGGATGCCGTGCCCCGACACCTCGATGACCTTCATGAGCGGGCGGGCGCTGCCCCAGGCCGAGCCCTCCCCAGCGCACACCCCCAGGCGCTTGGAGGCCCACAGGTCGATGGCGAGCAGGGAGCTGAGGGCGATGCCCACGAAGGACGGGTTCAGCTTCATGCAGTCCTCCTCGGGCAGCGGGGCGGCACCGGCGGCGCCGGCGGGCTCCCGGCGGCGGGACGGGCTGTCCGGTGCGGCGGGCCCGCGCTGGCTCAGCGACAGGAACTCCAGGCGCCCGCCGCTGCCGGCGCGCCGCTCGCGGCCGCTCCGGGGGCTCGGCATGGCGACGACGGGCGGCCTGCGGGAGGCGGGCGCCGGTCACCGGTCACCCGCTGCCAGGCCCGCTCGGAGCCCGGCATGTCCCCGTGCCCGGGGTCGCTTCCCTCTCCCGCTCCCCGCGCCCCGCCGGTTATCCCCGCCCCGCCCGGGCGCGGTGCCCCCGGCGCGTCCCCCGGTACCGGGCGGCCCCGGCGCCGCTTCCTCTTCCGCTTCCGCCCGTGACGCGCGCGCCGCGCCCCGCCCACCGGCGCGCACGTGGCCGCCGCGGCCGGCGTACGGCGGCCGGTGAGGGCCGGAAGAGACGCGGCGGCGCCTTCGCCCTGCCGGCGCCGGTGCGGGCGCCGTGCGGCGGGCGGCGATGCGCGGCGGGCGGGCGGCGGCGGGACCGGCCGCCCCCCCGGGCCCGCGGTGACGGCGGCTCGGCCGCGGCCATGGGGTGCCTGCAGAGCGTGGCCTGCAAGGCGCGGGTGCGCCGCGAGCAGATCGTGGTGTCGGACGTGTCGGCCACCATCGAGCCGGCGGCCACGGCCATCGAGGAGAGCTCGCCGGTGGTGCTGCGGTACCGCACGCCCTATTTCCGCGCCTCCGCCCGCGTCCTCATGCCGCCCATCGCCCGCCGGCACACCTGGGTGGTGGGCTGGATCCAGGCCTGCAACCACATGGAGTTCTACAACACCTACAGCGACCTGGGCGTGTGAGCACCGGGGCGCGGGGGGCTCCGGGGCGCGGGGTCCGGGCTGGGAACGGCACTGGGGGCTGCACCCCGGGAGCTGCACCCCCGGTATTGGGCTCTGCACCCCGATACTGGGAGCTGCACCCCGACATTGGGAGCTGCACCCCGGCATTGGGTTCTGCTCCCCCAGCATTGGGAGCTGCACCCCGGCATTGGGTTCTGCACCCCGGCATTGGGAGCTGCACCCCGGGAGCTGCACCCCGGCATTGGGAGCTGCGCCCCCGACATTGGGAGCTGCATCTCTGGCATTGGGAGCTGCACCCCGGCACTGGGAGCTGTATCTCTGGCATTGGGAGCTGCACCCTGGCATTGGGCTCTGCACCCCCGGTATTGGGAGCTGCACCCCGGTACTGGGTTCTGCACCCCGGCATTGGGAGCTGTACCCCGGCATTGGGAGCTGCACCCCTGACATAGGGAGCTGCACCCTGGCATTGGGAGCTGCACTCCGGCATTGGGAGCTGCACCCCGGCATTGGGTTCTGCACCCAGGCATTGGGAGCTGCACCCCTGACATAGGGAGCTGCACCCCAGCATTGGGAGCTGCACCCCGACATTGGGAGCTGCATCTCTGGCACTGGGTTCTGCACCCTGGCACTGGGTTCTGCACCCCCGGTATTGGGAGCTGCACCCCAGCATTGGGAGCTGCACCCCGGCATTGGGAGCTGCACCCTGGCATTGGGAGCTGCACCCTGGCATTGGGTGCTGCACCCCGGCATTGGGAGCTGCACCCTGGCATTGAGTGCTGCACCCTGGCATTGGGAGCTGCACCCCGGCATTGGGAGCTGCACCCTGGCATTGAGTGCTGCACCCTGGCATTGGGAGCTGCATCTCTGGCACCCCGTGCTGCTGCCCCAGCACCCTGTGCTGCCCCTCTGCCCCAGCTCTGCAGCCACACACGGGCAGCACCTTCACCCCAGCCCCACTCCCCGACCCCACAGTTGCTGCCCCTCGGGCCCCACAGCTGCTCCCACACCCTCCAGCCTGGACCTCGCCCCTCCTAGGGCTTTGTGGCCGCTGTCTCCCACCAAGCATCGTTTCTCCTTTGGCACTGGGAGTGGAGCACAGGCTGTGCTGGGGGAGTTGCCCCCTTGGCTTGTGCTACAAGAGGGAATGGTTGCAGTGCTGGGCAGAAGTAGCAGCAGGAAAACAGCTTTCCCAAGGCTGAGTGTGACTTGTGGGGATGCCGAGGGGCAAAGCTGTTGGCTCTCTGTCTGTGTCTTCTGCCTTTGGAAAGGGGTGATGCCAGAGGGGAGATGTCCAGAGGGGTCTGTTCTGCAGCTCGCTGTGGGCTCTGCTGCTGGTGCCACCGCTCTGTGGGTGCTGGGGAGCAGCAGGTCCTTGTGCTGCATCCTTGTGTCACCACAGATGGGTGTGCATGGGGCACGGAGCACTTGGGGACGTTGGAGGACCGCACAAGTGTGGCCCCAGCCGCTCTGCTGCAAAGCTGCTCCGGTGTTATTGCCACACCGTGTTGGTAGCATGGCCAGCAGCAAAGACTTGGGATGAATCCCACCCCCCCAGCCATATTGCAGGGATTTCATGGTGCCAGTGGCAGGCTTAACTGTGGGATTCAACTGTTGTGTTTAAGGCATAAAAATCATAGACCTGCTGCAGGAGGGGGCTGCTGAGGGGCTGGGCCCGTGCTGTGGTCACTGTGCTGCAGCTGGGGGACAGGGACAGGAGTCCTGTCTCCAGCACAGGAGCTGATCAGGGCGAGAGTGACCCCAAAGAGACTCAGCAGTGGGTTTTGGCCCAGTCAGTTTAATTGCAGGTTTATTAAAATGGCATTGTGTTGGCAGAGCAAGGGCTCGAGCTGGATGTGCTCAAGGAACTGAAGCTGAATTTGTTCTCCAGGTCTGTCCCTGAGAGTTTGCTGCAGGCAGGCAAGCAGAGGGTCCCTGTGCTGCCATTTCCCTGCTCATCTTCCTCTTCCTCTTCACCAGGTCGAGCTGGGAGCTGCCTGACCTGCGGGAAGGACGAGTGAAAGCCATCAGCGACTCGGATGGGGTGAGCTACCCCTGGTACGGAAACACCACAGAAACCGTGACCCTGGTGGGGCCCACCAACAAGATCTCCAGGTTCTCGGTGAGCATGAACGACAACTTCTACCCCAGCGTGACGTGGGCCGTGCCCGTGAGCAACAGCAACGTGCCGCTGCTGACCAGGATTAAAAGGGACCAGAGCTTCACCACGTGGCTCGTGGCCATGAACACCACCACCAAGGAGAAGATCATCCTGCAGACCATCAAGTGGAGGATGCGCGTGGACATTGAGGTGGACCCCATGCAGCTGCTGGGGCAGCGGGCGCGGCTGGTGGGCAGGACTCAGCAGGAGCAGCCGCGGATCCTCAGCAGGATGGAGCCCATCCCGCCCAACGCGCTCGTCAAGCCCAACGCCAACGATGCCCAGGTGCTCATGTGGAGACCCAAGCGAGGGCAGCCCATCGTGGTGATACCTCCCAAGTAGGGCGTGCAGCCGAGCCCCTGGCTGCGCACGGACAGGGCTGCCCAGCCAAAGCTCACCTCTGGGCTCTCCTGCCTTTCTTGTTGTGCTTGGAAACGTGGCTCCTCCTCGGGCACAAGTAGAGCCTGGCTGGCACAAGGGCGCAGAAGAGGGTTTGCCGAGCTGGAGGATTTCCCGGGAAGCGGAACGGAGTGCTTGCAGCTGGCACAAAGGACTCGTCTTTCCTTGCGGGGCAGCACGAGCAGCATGAGTGTGGTTGAACCGTGCCCGTGGCAGATGCTGCTTCCCACGCAGCCAGAGGGAGAAGCAGAGGCTGTTCCTGTCCCCGCGTCCCTGCCGTGTCCGTAGCTATGCATTTCGGATCCGTGATCCCCCCATGCCCGCCCGCCTCCCGCAGTGGGGTGGGACCTGGCGGTGCTGGGGGCGGGCCAGAGCCCGGTGCCACGGCCCGGGAGGGGTTTCTGCAGCCCGGGGGCAGCGGGACACGTTTTGCATGCGTCTGGGTGTGTTTGGAGTAGTTGTGAGTGTAGGAGATGCCATAGCTCTTTTCCGTCTTGGGGTGAGGTGTAAGGGCAGGTTAGATGTCCTTTTGTTGTGAGGTGCACTAAGTCTTTGCATCCCTCAGCCTCCCTTCTCTTTGGGGAGCAGGAGGATTGTCAGCCCAGTCCGGGTGGGAATGGGGGCAGTGCCATTCTCCCAGCCCGGGTGCTCTGGGTGTGTGGGGTGCCCAGACCAGCCCAGAGGCACCTCTGGACTCGCTTTGCTTCACCGCAGACCCCCTCCCTTGCTAGAAGTCGGGTGCTCGCTCATTTTCCACGCAGATGCTGCCTCACGTGGAGGCCTCTCCCAGCCTCCCATGGAGCAGGGTGGCTGCTGGCTGGGCCACCAGTGCACGCTTTGTGGTACCTCCCCAAGCCCTGTGCGAGGCAGGGGTGTGAGTGGAGGCCGTTCAGGGCAGGCCTGGGTTAGCCGGGGAAGGAGGAGCTGAATGTGCTGCCTGGGGCTGCCTCCTGCTGCTGCCGCTGTGCTCGGAGGGGTCACAGGGGGATTTATTTGCCTTCCTCCTCCCTCCTTGCTGCCTGGATGGCTGGCACTGGCTGCTCCGTGGGGCAGCACGCTGCTGTGGGATGCAGCTGGCAGTTCCCAGGATCTCACCCTGGAGCTGCAGCAGAGGCATAAACCACGGCTGTGCTGCTGCTGCTCCGGGTGCTCCGTCACTCCTGGGCAGGTGCTCACAGCTTTTGCTGCTTTCTCTGCTCTGCCCTCCCTGGCACGAGCCCTGCAGCTCCTCCAGCTCGCAGCCCTGCCTTCCTCACACTGCAGGGAGGCTGTGCTGCCCTGGGGATGCAGGTCATTCCTGCTGGAAGGTCCCTGTGCCATCCCGCTGGCAGTGCTGGGTGACACTTCCCTGCACCCGGGCCCTGCCAGCACAGGGGCTCCCGAGGCATCTTAGACCAAAAATCCCTGTGAAATCCCCCTGCTGTTTATTGCCCTCAGTAGTGTTTGCTGCTGATCCAGTTCTTTATTTATTATTTTTCCTCTGGGAGCGTTTCCTTTGGACGCCCTGGTGCAGCAATTCCGTGTGCCGGGGCTGGTGCTCCCGCTGGGCTGGGATCCTGCTGCTTTCTGTGCCTGGGTGGGTTCTGCAGGGGGCAGGCTTGGAGGGAGACAGGGCTTTGAGCTTTGGTTTGCTGTGTTTTCTGCAGCAGAGCTCCCACAGGGAGCTGGTGGTGTGGGAAGATGTCCTGCTCTTGTGAGACTGTGGTTTTGTCCTGGTGTGGGACCGATGGCAGCTCGTGCCATCGCTGGTGTTTTGTTTTTCAAAAAGTGTGTGTGGAGAGGGGTTAGAAACTTGAAATACAATTTTCCTTAAGGACTGGGGGAGGAGGGGTAAGTACCTTTTTGGTTTGAAGTAAGGCAGGTGTATACTTTTGACCCAGGGGGACAGAAACATCTCTGGCAGCATCAGAGCTGAAACGCCAGAGGAAGGGTGGCTCCAAGGTGGCCTTCCTGCTGGGAGAGGATGCTGTGTCCAGAGGCTGCGTGAGCCAGCTCCCCAAAACGCACGGGAAGTGGCTGCAGGCTGCCGTCAGCCCAGGGAGTGCTGTGGCACCACCGTGGCTCCCGCGCCTGGGAGAGCAGGGACGCTGCTGCAGGGATGCTGTTGGACCCAACATTGCCACCTTTTGGGACTTGCTGGCCAGGCTGAGCCTTGGCACTGAGACAGCAGTGGCTGGATTTCTGTCCATGAATGTCTGCAACATCCTGGTGCCAGGGTCAGGCTCCGTGCCTGGCTGTAGCCGTGTGCCTGACGCCCCGGGGCTGCCCCAGCCTGCAGGCAGGTGTTGGCTGAGCCCTGGGGCCGTGCCTGTGTTCACCTCTCCAGGCTTCTGCCAGGCTTCCGTTCCTGCTCCTCTGACAGCTGGATTTGATGCACTTTCGGTTTGGTGCGCGGCTTGTCTTTGTGGGCATTTCCCCGTCGAAAAAGAAAGGGGGAAAAAAAAAGTTTGCAAAAATTGTTTGCAAAGAAACACGTGCAAACAGCGTTTACAGAAACGCTCACACCTGGGTGGAGATGGAGCTCTGGGGCTGCTGGTGCTCAGGGGAAGGAGGGAAGGTGTGGGGGAAGAGTTCCCATGTTTGATTCTGAGTTTGGCTCATTCCCTGTGGCTGGATGAGCACTCAGACTCCTGGGTTCACCCCCACGGGATGCTCTCCCTGTGCTCCCCTTCCCCACCAGCACCCCGTTATCTCAGGGAGGGGCAGCCCATGGAAATGCCCACCCTCCTGCTCCCTATGCCCTGAGCGCCCCTTCCCCTCCTTCCCAGCCTCGGGTCACTTATTTATTGATCTATCTATTTATTTATTTAAGTTATTTATTGGTATTTATTGACAACTGGAAGTCGGGGTGGGGCGGGGGGGGGCTCATTTCTGCTGCACAGTGGGGGCAGCTGGGTCTCCCCCACACCCAGCCCCTGCCTTTGGGGTGCTGCTGGGGTCCCCAGGCTCCCATCCCCTTTTGGAGAGGCAGAAGGGGAGCCCACGGTGCCTGCAGGGAGGGCACCCGGTGCCGCTCCCTCCCCGCAGGAGCTCGGGGTGCTCCCTGCCCTGCCCATCCCTGTTTACTGACCCGGCCTCCTGGTGCCTCCCCCGCTGGATTTGCCCTTTCCAGCCCCTGGAGAGGGCGGGAGGAGCCAGGGTGGGTGAATGTCACTAGGGAGAACGGACCCAACCAGGTATTCTGCTGCCGCGTGGGGAAAATCAGAGAGAGAGAGAGAGAGGAAAGCTGGTTCTGCAGAGTGCCTTAAACACAAATGACTTTACCCAGTAGGGGGCTTGGACTCGTGTCTCTGGATGTTATTACCAACTCGAAAAAATGTTGCATTTCACTTCTCTGGGATTAAAAGAAAACTACTGGAGCTGTACTGGAGCCAAACCTCGTGTTTGCTTGAGTGTCTCTGGCTGGTTTGTACCTCTGGGGCCGTGGCAGCACCGGGGAGGGAGCAGGCTGGAATTCATGGAATTTTAGTGGCTGTCCCTGCTGCCTTTAAGCCCTTGGGTCTGGTGACAGAATTTGCTCCACTTTGTCCTTTCTGGTGACAGAATTTGCTCCACTTTGTCCTTTCAGGTGGCTTCTGTGCTGTCCCAGAGAGGTTCCCTGTGCTGGCCCTGCAGTGCCCTGCCCCAGGGCATGCTCTGAGCAGGCTGTGGGCACAAATCTGCCATGGGCTGTGTCCTCACACCTCCAGAAAATTGGGCAGTTGGTTGGAAAGCTTGGAGGGGGCAGAAGTTCCCTTTTCCCTTAGGAAAGCAGATCAAAGTGAGGGAGCAGCAAGAAGCCCAGGAGTTGGTGCAGCCCAGCCATGGGAACTAGGAAAGCTGCCCGAAAAGCTACACTGAAAAAAACATGTTTCCCTTTTGAAATTGTAGCCCCCCTCTCCCCTTTATTGCAGAGTGGAAGAGTGAGAACAAAAGTCAGCCCAGGGACCAACTGTTCCTATCTTCCAGTCAAAATAATACATGGGAATAATAAGGAGTTTCATAATGAAGGTTCATTTAAAAGCCATTTGGGAAAATACACCAATATTCACTGCATAGCTCCTGAAGGCAATTAGAAATTAATAAACCTATTTTTGGGGGGGAGAGGGGTAATGAAAGAGGGTTGTGGGTGCTGCCTGAGGTTTGGTCTGGAGGGGGATCTCACTGCCTTTGGTGCTTTGCTCACCTTGGCCATCAAACCTTGCTGGGGGGTGTACATTGGTGCCCAAGTGACCTGATTTCTTTAACAGCTGCTCCTTTTGAGCATTGCTGGCTGTGCTGGGCACTCAGGGGTGCTGGCAGCCACGCTATGGGCTACTCAGTGAGCAGCTTTCTCTCCTGCTGTTAAATTAAAACATTGCTCATCTCTTGACAAATCCCTGAGAAGGAGGTGTGGGAGAGCAGGAGTTTGCACAGCTCCTGTTGTGCTGCTCATGCCCCGGGAGCAGGGAAGGACCTGCCCTGCAGCCAAGGACAGGGCTCAGGGACATTGTTCCTGCCCAGCAGGGACAGCACAGCTGCCTTGTCTGAGAGCCTGTGCCCTGGGACAAGCTGTCCCTCCAAAACTCCTTCCTTGCAGAGCAAGAACAAGGGTAGTCTGTGCTGCCTGGGCACAAATCCCAGCTGGTGCCCACAGGGAACGCAGCAAACTTGTGGGAAAGACAAGGGACACTGCAGGTAGTACTGAAGGTCAGTTTATTTGCTTAATTCCCTCTCCCACAAAACCTGGAAACCATCACCTTCCAGCAAGAGACAAGAAAGCATTAAGAGGTGAAAGATTTAGCTCTGCAGCTCCTCCCCTACTCGTGGAGCACAGGTTAGATGGCTGCTCTGAAAGGCACGCAGCAGCTTGGAGCCCCCAGAGCTCCTGGCCCAGCAGGACACCCCTCCTCAGCACACCTCGGGGCTGGCACCAAACGGGGGGGACAGCACAGCAGGAGCCCTGCAGTGCCTGCTGGGGACCAGGCAGGGCTGGGCTGAGGCAGGGAAACACCCAGGGCTTGGTTCTGAGGGGATGGGAATGGAGGGACAAGAGGGCTGGTTCTGGGCTGGAGGGACACGAGGGCTGGTTCTGGGCTGGTTAGGGCTGGCACAGGGCTGGTGCTGAGCTGGTTCTGGGCTGGTTCAGGGCTGGTTCTGGGCTGGCTCAGGGCTGGTTCTGGGCTGGTTCAGGGATGGTTCAGGGATGGTTCTGGGCTGGCTCAGGGATGGTTCTGGGCTGGCTCAGGGCTGGTTCAGGGATGGTTCTGGGCTGGCTCAGGGCTGGTTCTGGGCTGGTTCAGGGATGGTTCTGGGCTGGTTCAGGAGGGCTGGCTCTGGGCTGGTTCTGGGCTGGTTCAGGGATGGTTCTGGGCTGGTTCAGGGATGGTTCTGGGCTGATTCAGGGCTGGTTCTGGGCTGATTCAGGGCTGGTTCAGGGATGGTTCTGGGCTGGTTCTGGGCTGATTCAGGGCTGGTTCAGGGCTGGTTCTGGGCTGGCTCAGGGATGGTTCTGGGCTGGTTCAGGGATGGTTCTGGGCTGATTCAGGGCTGGTTCAGGGATGGTTCTGAGCTGGTTCAGGGCTGGTTCTAGGTTGGTTCAGAGATGGTTCTGGGTTGGTTCAGAGATGGTTCTGGGCTGGTTCTGGGCTGGTGCTGAGCTGGTTCAGTGCTGCCATGCAGCAGCAGAGTGCCAGGACGAGGCCGTGGGTGGTGCGGTGTCAGAGGGGCAGGAGCTGGGCTCAGGAAGGCTCTGGCATCCCAGCAGCACGGACAGACAGACAGACAGGCAGCCAGCCCTCACTCTGGCTGCGGGGTGTAGCGCAGGTACTTCTTGCCCGAGGGCAGCTCCTTGGTGAAGACCCCTTTGGGGAAGAGCTTCTTGGCCTCCTCGTCGGGTAAGGTGGGCACCACCATGACGCTGTCACCGGGCTGGGGGGCACATGGGGACAAACGGGACAGTCAGGAGCTGGCAGGGCTGGGCACGGGTGGCACTGCCCCCCTGTGAGTGCACGTCCCATGCCTGGAGCCAGCAGTGAGGGCAGGGTGGGGGAGATGCCCAAAGGGAGAGCTGTGCCACCTGCCAGCCCTGGCAGTGGCATTCCCAGGGGAACAGGGAGTAAGGAGGGGAGAGTTTGAGCCTCTCTGTGATACTGGATAAAGCACAGCTTGCCCATGTCTGCCCATCCATTCCTACGGTTCAGGCGCCCCTGGGCAGGTGCTGCTGGCTCCCCCTTGAATTCCAAGCCCCTGGGGAAAGATCTGCTTTGCTGGGAGGTGGCCGAGCCAGCCCAGCCCCCTGGGATTTTATGCTGCAGCAAACAGGAGCCTGCAGAGGCCAGGCTGCCCCAGCTGCTGCTTCCCCCAGCCTGGGTGCCCCTCCAAGGGGGGCTGGCTGCCATTCAGTGCCTGTTCCCAGTGCCCTGCTCCTCACCTTCCAGTCCACGGGGGTAGCGACCTTCTTGTATGCTGTGAGCTGCAGGGAGTCCACCACTCTCAGGATCTCATCAAAGTTTCTCCCAGTGGTGGCTGGGTACAGGATAGAGAGCTTCAGCTTCTTGTCAGGGCCAAAAACGAACACCTGAGCACAGGGAGACAGTGTCAGGGGCTGGGCACGTTTGTGTGGCTGCTCTGCTGGATCTGCTCAGCCCTGATGCTCCTTGCTTTCCTGGGAGATGCTGAGCTGGGACAGGGGAGATGCCATGGAGCAGCTGATGCCCAGGGAATGGGCTTTTGCCCTGGGAGCTCTTGTGTCCAACACCAGCTCGTTTTGCTGCCTGTGCCCTTCTAGTGCAAGCACAGGAGGGGAAAGGGAAAGCCCAGCAGATCCAGCACTGACAGAAATGAGTTGGGACAGGCACGACTAGAATTGGGAGATCACCATGACGGAACCCAAGGGAGCCACCCCAGCCGCTGGGGGCGGCCATGCCCATGCAGGGGAGCTGCCCCAGCCCCAGGGCAGGCTGGCAGCCGTGGCTCTGTGCTCTGGGACAGGCAGCACTCACCACACGGGCCGTCAGGGGCATGCCGTCCTTGTCCTGCTCGTCCGGGTCCAGCATGCCCAGCTGCACAGCCAGCTCCCGGTTCTTGTCAGCGATGATGGGGAAGGGCAGCTTCTCTGCAGGCTGCTCCCCGTTGTAGGCATTGATGTCCTGCAGGGACAGAGCCGTGGCATGTCCCGTGAGTTTCCAGAAAGCGGGTGACAAACCAGAAACCTTTGTGCCTCCTTGTTCTGGAGGTCGTTCTCAGGCTGTCTGTGCTCGCAGCCCGGGCAGCAGGGCATGGAGCAAAAGGGAATTCCTGTTAGTGACACACAGAGCTTTAACTGAGAACTGTGCCCTCTTCCAGCTCCCTCCTGCACTGCTGACAGGTGTGTTGGTGTCACAGCTGGACTGACTGTGCTCCTAAGGAATGGTTTCTCTGGTGGCAGGGCAAACCAGCTGATAAAGAAAGGCCCAACACTGCACAGGTCTTGTGCAAGGCACCCATTCCATCCCATGAGTCACTCACAGCTTATTTAACTCAAGGCTCTCAAAAAACTCCACTGGAAGCCTGAGAGCAGGTGCTGGGGCACTGCTCACTCCTTTCTGAACCACACATGGCACAGAAGAGAGAACCATCCCCCTCCACAGCCCTGGAGGCTCTGCCTTGTGAACACGGTTCATGAGGTTGTACTGATCCAAACTGGACCTGCTTCACAAACACACACACAAAAAATGTATGTTGAGCATCTCCACACGTGGTCTGGACTCACCTGGGGTTGGCAGTGCCACCCTCACAGTCCCAGGGAGCCCCAGCGGTGCTCAGGGCAGCACAGGCAGGGCACTGCCAGCATCTGAGCAAGCAGAACTCAAGGCTCCTGCCCCAGGACAGGGCAGCCTGTTCCTTCCACCCTTTTCATGCTACAAAGAGCCACAAGCAGTGCTGCTGTGAGCCTCCCTCACAGGGCTGTGCTGCATTATCAGCTCAGCTGATAGCTCAGTGTGCAACCCCCCTGCCCTGCCCAGGCTCTGAGTGTGGGGAGCAGGCTGGGCCCTGCTCACAGGGAACCCAGGGAGGGCAGGTTGGAAATGCTGCGCCTTGGCACTGCTCAGAGCACACCAACAGCAGCAAGAGCAGGCCCTGCACCCTCCCCCATGGCTGCTGGTGCTGACAAAAGGGGCTGTAGCCCTGCCCCAGCTGCTCAGGATGCTGCAAGCAGGCCAAGTGGTGCACACGTGGCCAAAGGTTTCCTTTCCAGCTCTGCTCTTTGCCTGTTTTCTCCCCAGGCCTTTCTGTGTCAGCACGGCTCTGCAGAAAGGGGCCACTGCTCTCAGCTGGGCTGTGGCCAGGCCTGCCTTGCAAGGAAGCAGGGAATTGGTGCTGCTGTCCTGCAAACCTGCCCTGGCACAGCAGAGCAGGGAAGGAGGGCAGAGTCGAGGAGAAATGCAGCTGAATGCTCCACAGAGTCACAGGGGGCTGCAGATGGACACCAGCAAATGAGAGCCATCCCCTCCTCTCTTTAGAGCAGGGCTGGAGGATGAGCAGAGTTTCTGAGAGGTATTGTGTGAATCCTGCGGACTGTAACTCGTTCCAAAATGCACGTAATTTCCTGGCCTGGGGAGAAAACCTCAGGAAAGCCTCACAAGCCACACTGTGCTGCAATAAAACACCCATGACTCCCTCCCCTAATCACTGATTGTCTTTCCAGAGTCCAAGCTGAAACCAGACATCACAGGAGGGACTGATTCACCAGTGAGTCACCACGGTGCAGGTATCCCTGGCCAGAGGGAGCACTGAAAGCTCTGACAGCACAGCTCAGGGGGCTCAGGCATTCCCCCAGCCCTTGCAGAACCACAACCTCCTGCCTGGGGAGCTGGGATCAATCCCTGGCTGGGCCAGAGCCCCCAGCCCTGCAGCAAGGCTCTGTTCTGAGCCTAGGGATGGCCAAGAACAGCTGGAAAGCACAGAGTGACACAGGGGCTCCTGGCTGCATCTGGCCCCACCTTCCCAGGCAGGTCCCATCTGAAACCTGGCAGCAGAGAAGTTTCTTTGTCGTTTCCTGCAGGAGTTCAGCCTCCCCTCCCCTCTTTCCCCCTTGCAGGCTGTGCCCCAGGTAAAAACAGCTTCATCCAGGCAGGGAGCAGTGGTGTGTTTGGGAATGCTGCACACAAGGGCTCTGCCCAAAATTCACTCCTGGTCTCCATCCAGTGGCACACAGGCTGCATGGAACACTCCAGCCTTGTCCTCACCAGCTGGATCTTGGGCCCTGGAGGATTTTCAGCTGTTTCTGTCTCACAGGTGCTGAGCTGACACTTCCAAACCTCTGGCTCCAAGGCTTCTCCCAGCCTCACCACAGCTTCACTCGCTGCCTCTCCGTGGTTTTCCTGGGAGGTTTTCCTGCTCTGCCTCCCCCCAGCCAGCGTCAAGGCTGTTCTGCAGCTTCTCCTGCTCTCACCTGAGCTTGTGCCATGTGAATAATTCCATGGCATCAGCAGAGTCAGCTCGTTGCTCATCTCTTTTTCAGCTCGCCCGAGTCTGCTGAACCCCACGCATCCCTGCAGGATGAAAGAGCTCAGCACTTCCTCCTTGACACAAATCCCTGCTTTCCTGCAAGAAAGAGCCTGCCCTTCACAGAGCTGACTTGTGGAAAAGCTGCTTGCAAATTCAAAGGCTTTGCAGAAGTCAGCAACACCCTGACACCTCAGCTTTGGCCAAGCAGATGAGTCTCCCTCACAAAAGCACAACACAAAAGTTCTGTTCTGGCTAATGACACGTTGTTTGCTAATTTGTCTGCTGGTTTCAGCCAGTTTGAGCAGCACAGAAAAACCTCATTTACTGGGATTTGTACTTTGCTTTTCCCAGGCCCTTCTGAGGCTTGCTGGGGCATTGGCCATGCATCACTCAGGTACAAAGGCTGATTTAAGCAATAAGGCAATTAGCTAATTTCTAAAGCCAGTCAGTCACGAAATAATGTCCAACTGAGTGTAGAAATTTCTCACCTTTGATGCCTCTTATTGCAAGCACCTCTCGCCCCTGGAAAATACCTGAGAACATTCCCAATTTTAAGAGCTAAGGGGGTGGCAGGTAATTCACCCAAGGATTTTTACACTCTGGCCACTTCTGTCTGAAATACTCATTTTAGACCCCTGCCACCTCTAGCCCTGGAACCATTCTCCCTGGTAGCACACACAGGCTGCCTTTGAAGTTTTCCTTAAGTTCCTTGCAAGGACCTTCACTGAGTTATTCCACTCCCATCTCTTTTTAATGCTGCCTCATGTTCATTTTACACTTAACATTCCCCTATTTGTGATTTTATAGTTAACATGTCTCAGTTTGTTTTCTCCTCCCTGCCCCAGCACAAACTGTAATTTTCTCCTCACTTCTGATGCCTCTTTTCCTTTCCTGTTTTATTACAGAACTTCCTGAGGGTCTGTGGGTAGGTTCTGGCCTCACCTCCACACATTTTAACCCTTTCAGTAGTGGTGGGACAGCAGTAATATTGCTTTCCTCTTGTATTGATGCCTCAGGTTTTAGCTTTTATATTTTTCAGGTTCTGTGCTGCTTTAGTGTGTGGGTCTGGGCTTCATATCAGGGCATGGTGAGCTCTGTGCACAGAGCAGAGAGACAAAACAATTCCTGCTCCAGCTGGGGACCAAGGACAAATGATCCAAATCTCAGGCCCAAGAGCACAAACACTGTGGGCTGGAGAGAGGAAAACAAGCAGGGTGGGACTGCATGGGCTGGAGCTGTAATTGGACAATTAAGTCCAATATGCAAATGGAGCAGAACTTATAAAAGTGAGAGACCCCATGACCAGTTGTGCATTTTGTGACCATTTTGGTTCATTTTGGGTGTAGCCCTGGCTGGGCTCTTGTGCTGCCCAAGGTGGATCCATTGAGGCCTTTAACAAATCCCTGCTTTATTCTTTAACTCTGTCCAGCCCCTGTTCTAGCTCAGCCTGCACAAGGCATCAGCATCAAAGCACCCTGGACTTTGTGAGGTTCTCCATGACGATGGAGAAGACCTTCCCCACTCCTGCCCTGCATTTCAGCACCGCCACGCTTTGGGATGTGGCACTTGTACCTCCAAGCCTGCCTGGGCATCTCCTGCAGCCCCTGAGCCCCCCCAGAGGCCGTACCTTGCACCAGGAGAGGTGGTCCTGCACGCTGTCGATGGAGAGCGCGATCATCTTCACGTTGCGCTTGCTGAACTCGGGTGCCAGCTTGGCCGCCCGGCCCAGCTCCGTGGTGCACACCGGGGTGAAGTCCCGCGGGTGGGAGAACAGGATGCCCCACCTGCAACGGCACGGAGGCAGCTCTGAAGGGCACCCGTGGCTCTGGTTTGTGCTGCAAGGGCCTGAATGAGGGATGTGGGACTCCAGGGGCTCTCCAAAATGCAGTTTATTCCATCCAAGAGGTTACAGCAGGACAGGGTGGTGGGTGACAGAGCTGTGCCCACAGCTGTCAGCTCCAGCTGCAGGCAGGCCTGGAGACACTTAGTTTAGTTTACATTGCATTATATACTTTTCTTTGCTGAGCATCTTAATACAGCAGAACTAATCTGTACCTTAACTTTTATCTATAGCCTGTCATAACTGCTATAATTACCATATTCATGTTACTGTTCTCCAATCACTAAAAGTCAGTACATTACAGTTTCAGCTAGAAGTTGGTTTTCAGTTTTCTTGCAGTGGAAAATTCTGAGAGCTTTTTTCTGCTTGCAACATTGGCAGTCCTGTCTGCCTGTGCTTTCTGCCTGGCAAAAACATCTTCTTGTTTGGGGTGGGTTTATCCTTTGCTCTAAGCCATAAAAACCCCTTCTAACTAACACACCCTTTGCCTCCTTGGTTATCCAGTAAGACTGGCTCAGCAATTCTTTTCTTCTATATCAAAACTTGCTTCCACCTCTACTCTTTCTTCATAGTCTACATTCAAAAATCTTTCTGCTAAACCTGTCTCACATATCTGTGAGAATTTCTTGTCAAACTTTCATCGTTCCCAACGCTGTGCAGAGTGGAGTGCAGGAACAGCTTGACTCTGATAAGGAATTCCTGGAGTGCAGGAATAGCTCGTGGAGTGCAGGAACAGCTCGTGGAGTGCAGGAACAGCTCGCCTCTCTGATAAGGAATTCCTGCCCGGCAACTCTTCCTTCCCTATCACCAGAAACTTCCATGAGATAAGCCCTGCTCCGGGAAACTCCCTGCACCTCACTTCCCACTCTGCCTCCAGGATCCTGCAGGAGATGCCGGAGCAGCCCCTGGCGCTTCCCATGGATGTGGACACGGTGCTGTGTGAGGAAGTTTGGGGGAACCAGGTGTACAGGGCAGCCCAGAGACCCCACGAGTGAGGGGGTGCCTGGCCAGGTTATTGCAGAGCTGGTCACTGATTCACGAGCCTGGTCACAACCCCTGCACCTCCCCTCCACACACACAAACGTGCATCGTGCAGCTCAAAATAATGGGACAGGACCAAGCCTAAACCCAGCTGCTGCTGTGAGCTGCACTCCATTAAAAGGTAAGAATTAATCAATAGCAGGGGAGGCCAGAAGTTAACAACATCACATCGTGGCTCCTGTTGCACTGACACAGCCACCTCAGCTTGGCAGCGATGGATTTTGAGTCTTTAGAGCAGCAAACACTAATCCTGCACCTCCCAGGTAAGGCAAACAGTGCACAAGAAAGGCAGCAATGCAGCCCAGCAGGATGAGCTGGAGCAAAAAGGCTCTCAGGACTTCCCAGGAGGTAAAGCAAAGCCACCCCCAGCACTCCAAATTCCCTGCCAGAGACTCCTTCCACCATTTCTCAGCTCAAACCACACAGATCTTGCTGCACCGATCTTCACGGGCCTCCAGCAGCCTGACAGGAGGGGAAAGCCGTGTCTGAGAGCCTTGGGAATGCAGCTGGAGGGATGAAATGAGGGCTCCTGCAGCTCTGCCAGGGCCGTGTGACTGCCACGGGTCAGCAGCAGGAATTATTGGTGTGCAGCTCCCTGGCCACGGTGCCAGGAGGCTGCTCGGGCAATGCCCGCGCTCCGTGAGGGAACAGGAGGGCAGAGCTGCGTGTGCCAGGCTGGAACAGCCATTTCCAGAGGGGCTGAGGCTCTCAGGGCTCTCACTGCCCTCTGCCCAGGCTCACAGCAGCGGCTGATCCGAGCCTGCCAAGCGCTGCCGGGAGCGGGGCCCGGAGGGGCCGTGCCTGAGCCGGGAATGGGGCAGCCGGCTCTGAGGGAACGGTGCCCGGCGGAACGGGGCCTTTGTCACCCTGGCACTCCCGGGACACCGAGCTGTCCCCCTTGTCACCTTGGCACTCCCGGGACACCGAGCTGTCCCCAGCGCCGCTCTGGCCAGCCGGGCTTTGCCCCTTCTCTGTCCTCCGGAGCTCGGCTCGGCTCGCCCTCCGGGGACGATGGGGACGGGATTCTGCCCACCGGGAATCCCGCCGTGTCCGGCCCCCCGGTCCCACGAGGAAAAGCCACATTTTGGAGCGAGCCCCGGAACCGTGTGACACGGGGCTCAGCGTGCGGGAGGAATGAATGAAGGAACGCGGTGAGCGGCCCCGCTCCGTGCCGCCTCCCCGGGATCCCCGGGATCCCCGGCGGCGCCGACATCCCATCCCACCCCCGCTCCCGGTGTATCCCCAAGCGCTCACGAGTCTCCCAGGAAGTCGTGGAAGCGGATGCGACCCTGCGTGGTGTCCGCCTCGAAGTTGGGCGCCTCATCCCCCAGCAGCAGCCCCGGCATGGCTGCAGTTCCCGATGCAATTCCCGATACAGTTCCCGGTGCAGTTCCCGGTGCTGCTCCCGCAGCCGCCGCTGCCCGCTCTGCGCCTGCGCCCCGCCGCCGCCCCCTGCGCGGGCACGTGAGCGCGGGCACGTGACGGGCCGCGGCGGCGCGGCCGCGATGGCGACCTACGTGAGCGAGCTGGAGGCGGCCAAGAAGAGCCTGAGCGAGGCGCTGGGCGAGAATGTGAAGCAGTGAGTGCCCTCGGGGAGCGGGGCTGGGCTCTGCGCCGCCCTCCCGGCCCCTCGCGTTCTGCCGTGGCCCCGCAGAGCCTCGGTGCTGCTGCCGCTGCGTGAGGGGGCAGCGCTTCTGCTCCGCTCCCTCAGCCGAGGCGCTCGGGGAGGGGAAAGAGCCGCGGTCTGGTTGAGAGTTTGGACTCGATCATCTCGGAGGTCTTTTCCAACCTCATTGATTCTGTGGTTCCCTGCTCTTCCCGAGGTACTGGGCCAACCTGAAGCTGTGGTTCAAGCAGAAGATCAGCAAGGAGGAGTTTGACCTGGAAGCGCGCAGGCTCCTCACGCAGGACAATGGTAAAGGAACACGCGGGGTTTGTTGTCCTGCCAGGCCTGGGAAGGCTCCTGCAGGCTCCGCGGCGCTTCCCGAGCGGGGGCAGTGCTTGTGAGGGAAACAGCAGCGCCAGGGCTCCGGCAGCAATGGGGTTACAGTGGTGGGAGGTGCCCTGGCCCGCATGGGGAAGTCCCTGGGTAACCCCGGCCCTGACAGACAATTTGGCGTTGTAAATGTGATAGAAATGTAAAACATGCTGTTCGAGCAACCAAAAAGCCAGTTTTAACGCCGCAGTGGAGGCACAGTCCTTTCTGCACTTTCCCCTTGGCTGTAGCTGGAGCAGGGGAGGGAGCCCTGGGTTCCCCGGGCTGCATTTGCAGCAGGCAGGTCCTTCCTGCCCTTGGGACTGGCAGCTGGGGTGGTAAAGGGGGAAATTCCTCGGTCCTTGCGTCTCTGTGTGTCTGCAGACATGGGTGAGCATTGCTGAGCTCGCTGTGGGGGCTCCTGGCTTCCATGTTTGTGATCCCTTAGGGAAGGGCAGGGAGGTTTCCGGTGCTCAGGCTCCAAAGAGGATCCTGAAACCCTCTGAGGTTGTTTTCACTTTCTCTTGTGCACATTTACCCTATGTTCCAGAAAACCTCTGCAATAAAGCTCTGTTTTATTAGAAGTTCTTTGAACTGACTTCATCTTTGTGGTTCTCGTTTTGGTGTATTTTGTAACAAAACCAAAAGCACTGCATGGCAGGAGGGACAGCTGCTCCTCTGACTGGCTGAATACACCAGAACTTGTCAAGCAGCTGTAATACACTGTGTGTGTAATACTGAGAAGTGACCTCATTGTTTCTGTGCTGTGTGTAGTATCCTCTGTGTTGTTGTCACAGTAGTAGATTCTCAGCCCAGTAGAAGAAAACTCTCAAAAAAACTTAAATTAAAAATTGAGCAGGTGGGGAGAACACAACAGTGGGAAAGCTTAGGGAGCAGCTTTAGGATGGCTTTGAGGGGGTGCCTGGGCACTGGTGTGCTGCTAATGAGCTCTCTCTGTCTCTCTGCACAGTCCATTCTCACAATGATTTCCTCCTGGCTATTCTCACCCGCTGCCAGATCTTGGTTTCTGCCCCAGGTGAGTCCTGAGAAGCCTCATTAACCCTTGGTGTAACACTGTGCCTGCCACTTGTGAGTTTGGGGGTGTGTGCACAGTACCCCAGTGTCCTCAGCCTTCATATTCATGGGGGGTTTTTGCCACACAGGTAAAAATGTAGCAAAATAATGAAATTATTTCAGCAGAGGTGCTTCTGTGGCTAAGCTGTGTGTGCCTGGTTAGAGGCTGATGCTGGGTTGGTGCCTGTGATAACCTGGTTTGAACTCTGGGTCGGTGTCTGCTGTGAGCTGAAGGGTCAAGGCAGAGGCAGCCTTCTCTTTGATGTGCTTTGCTTACCCCTTTCCCTCTCTGAGCTTTGTTCCTGCTCATTGTGGAGAGCTGACTTTTCCTGACTCATCTTGATTTCAAGTACAGAGCTGATAGAAAAGTGCTTACAGGGAGCCTTGGTTGAGCTGTGACCTATTAGCCCAGTATCTGCACACAGTTAACATTTTACCTTTGGAAGCATCTAGGATTACATTTTACCTCTGTGAGTGTCTACAATGGCTGCATTTAAGGGTGCAGATGTGTTTTGTTTGTTCTCCAAAAGAGCTCCCAACCCAGAGATGTGGTAGCAAGGGCAACTGAGCTGCAATTCAAGGTGTGGAGCTGCTGTCTAGGAAGGGAGAGAAAATTGCTACAGCTCACATGACCTGAGAGATGAGTTTAGGAGAGAATACCTGTTACTGAGGTGCCTGTTGTAGCTACAGGCAATAATGCCTGCAAAATTCATGGATGGCCACGAGTTTTTGTGCTGGAGCTGGTCCTTAACTCTACCAGCTGTGCTAATTAAATGTTGATTGCCCTCACCTCCAAACTTGCATTGTTTGCTGTTGATTGAACTGCAAAAACACCTTGTATGCCCTAAACTTGTTCCCTTTAGGGAGCTGCACTCGTGTAAATCAGGTTTATGTCTGAATCTGCTGCTCCTTGCTTTTAACTTTGAGTGATTAATTGCAGCTGGATGATGAAGAGACTGCACAGGAGCAGAGATTCCCCTGCTGGTCACCTGGAGCAGCTGGGTCCACACGAGGAGGGCAGGGAGGCAGTGCCTGTCTCTTTATGCCCCTTAGTCATGGTGTGCAGCTGTCTGGTCAGGATTCCTCAGCAAACTCTCCCAGGTGTCCCTTCCCAAGGCAGTTTGGGATTGTTTGAAGGTGGGAGCCCCAGCACAGAGCAGGGTGCTGCTCCACAGGTATTTATTAGTTCCTGCCTGACCTGCTTCAATTTCAAGTCCCTGGAGGTTGTTTTCTCTTGTCCCATGGCAGCTGCTCTCCTCAGAGCCCTGGAAGAGACCTGGATGTGGTGGTGGCCAGCTGGCCACCAGTGCCTGTCACCTCCAGGGCTCTCAGGCAAGCTTTGCCTGGCTCTGTGGCCACAGATTGCATAAAGCCAGCTTGGAAAAAAGTCAGTTTAATCATGGCTGAGTGGTCTTAAAGATGTGCTGTGGGGCTAACAGTGCATTCTGCTGGTCCCTTCTAGCAGCTCAGCTGTGCTGTGCACAGATCAATGCCCCAGTGATCTGGGGGCTGAGGTTCCTTTTCTGGGCCACTGACTGGGACATCTCTTACAGGCAAGATGTAGGGTGGTACATGCAAGCCCAGGAAAATGCAGTATCACTGGAATACTAGCTTTTAACATGGAGATTTCTCTTTCTTCCCCTAGATGCCAGTCTGACATCTGCTACTTTATTTTTTTTGTTGTGGTTTGGTATTTTCTCTCTCTCTTTTTCTTTTTTTCCCTCCATGTAAGAATGGAAAGCTAACAGGCTTTTGTCTCTACCACTTTCTTTTGGGTAGAAGGTGTTTACTTGATGATTCATGGAAATAAGTGACTTTAAAGGAGTGTTTTTGACCACTTGGCATGCCTTCACAAGGGTTATTGATGCATGTACTTTCCACTTTCTTGTGAGAGACAAGGGGAAAGTAACCATGTGGTCAGTGGTCAAGTTGTACTTGATGCTGTACTGGAATAAGAACCCTTGGGGAAGGTGTTTTTCAGGAGTGATTACAGTATATGATGAACATGCAAACAAACCCATCTGCTCCCAATTTTGCTGCCTCTTGTAGTAGTGGTTCCACCTGGGATTTAGGGAGCACTTGGTGACTGTCACCCTTTCTGAGGATGCTTTGCAGTTCCCCCTCTCATCTGCTCAGGCTGTCGGTCACCCAAACCACTTGAAATCCCAGTTGCACACCTCTCTGCCATGGGGCACTTAGGGCTGGCTGGTGCAGAGGCAGGGAGCTGTGTTGTCCATTCTGATGTGAGGGGTGGCCATTTGGGGCCAGCTCTCCTGGCTGTGTCCTCTCCCAGGCCCTTGTGCAGGCCCCTAGCTGGTGGGATGGGTGAGGAGCAAAAAATCCCTGGGCTCTGTGCTCTGCAGGAGTGAACACATCCCTGTGTCACCAACATTGTTCTTGGCACTCATCCTAAACACAGTCCTGTGCCAGCTGCCATGGCAAAAAATTAACCCTCTTCCACCCCAAACCTGCACACTGGGAGTTTTTCTTCCCCCAAAAATTCCATCAAGAGGGACTCTGGTTTAAATCCTTTCTTAACCTTGCATGGACTTGCTTACTAAGCTGACCTTGTTTGTTGGACAGTTGCAAGCCTCAGGGTAGCAAGGTTCCTTGAATTAATATGTATCTTCTTGGAACTGTTCCTTCCCTTCTTAGTTTTATTGCTGACATTTAGCTGAGACAATTGCAAACACTTGAGTTAGTGATGTAAGGATTTAATTTATTTAATAATAGTCTGAAGCCATTTAAAAGATGGTTCGGTGAATTAGAACTCGTGTGGAATAACAGGAGCATTTTATTTCATCAGGTTTGTCCGCAGGCTTTGCTTAGAGGGCTTTCAGCTGTGAGATTGGCTCAGGTTGCTCATGTTTGCTTCTCCAGAGTACTGAGAAGGGAGGAAAAGTAAGAAAGTGGGAGTGTGAGGAGAGGAGAGCAGAGGAATGTGCAGAGGAGAGCCAGCAGAATATCAACCAGATATCAGCAGAATAGCTGACCAAAACCCCTGTTCCTGCAAGAAGATTAAAACAAACAACCCCCCCAAATTGAAGATCAGTAAACAGGCGTGGGAAACGTGTGTTTTCTCTCTGTCTGCTTCTTTCTGTGGTGACTTTCTCTGTTTCTTTGTCCTTTCCTCATGCAGCATGTCAGGCAAACCTGACAGGCTCTGGACTGGCTGGTGCCATGCAGAGATGTGGCAGCTCCTAGAAAAATGCTTTTATCTCTTGCTGATCTTTGAAGGCAGAGCAGCAGCTGTGGCTCGTTGAGGTCTGATTCCTTTGCTAGCAAGATTAAATAAAAGCTGCATTCATCTCTGAAGTTTCATGTCTGAGCCAACCCAGCCTTGTCATTTGTGGCCAGGAAGGCAAGTACTGGTTTCTTAGAATGCTAGAG